AGGCAGTAACATTTACAAAAACAACCCAAATGTTATTTATTTAATATACATTGCAAGGACTTAAATCTTAATTTAAAAAACAGAAAACATAACAAAAACAACACCACAGCTCAAGATAACAGAGTCCTGTACAGAAGTCAAGGAAAAGGACAGGTAGACTAAGGAAAAAACAGACAACACAGGAGAAGCTGGACAGCTCAGGTCAAGGCTCTTGGCTGGAGACTTGTTTTGAGTAGGTTTCTTGAAGGTACTTCTTAAAAGCTGGAAGAGAACAGGGGGGTCTCAGGTGAGTGATGGGGTCAGGAGTTCATGAAGGTGGGCAAGAGGGCTTCCTGAACACAGGGGTGCAAGGTTGGGAAGGGGCGTGTGTGTGTGTGTGTGTGTGTTTGTGTGGATTCCCCAGCCTAGCAGATTTTCCTTTGCTATCAAGGCAATCAGGATCCTTACAGCCTTGCTTCCAGTGAATTGGGGGGGGGGCATGCATTCTACCCAAAGCCCACTTAGAAAATATGGCAGGCAGAGAAGTGGCCATTCCCCACTTAGCTCAAAGGAAGGGATCACCTTAAGCTGGAGAGGGACCCACCTGTGGGGTTTTTCCAGAGCTCGGCAGCATGTGTGTTCAAAGGGCTTTCGATGTTGGGCTCTGTGGGCAGAAAGACAGAAGAGTCAAGGGGGTGGAGACGGTTAACCTAGCGGATTCCTGACTAATCTCCATGCTGTGAGAGATGGGGTGTGCTCCGAAGTCACCTCCTAGTAGGCTCTGGATAGACAGCAGGATGGTCCTGACGTCATACAGGGCTGACCACTTGTCTTTGAGGATGTCCAGGCAGATGTTCCCCTGGGTGTCCACGTTGGGATGGTAGCAAGGCGTGAGGAATTTCACCGTGGGTGCGTTGTAAGGGTAGCCACTAGGGAACTCCAGGGAGAGCTTATACCTCAGGTCTTCATATACCTGGTATTTAGAGGTGGGGAGTAAGTAAGTCCCTCCCCTCAGCCCCATATCCCCACCCAATCCCCACAAGTGGGGCTTACAGATGATATCAGGTGACACACACACCCCCCATAAAAATATATAACATATGTTATATAGAATTTATTTTGGTGCTAGTACTGGGGCTTGCATTCAGGGCCTTGGGGTCACTCACGTTTCTCTCTCTCTCTTATAGGGCTTGGTTACTGTCCCTGGGCTTTTTTGCTCAGAACAAGGGCTCTACCACTTTGAGCCACGACTCCACTTCTGGCTTTCTGATGGGTAACTGGAGATAAGATTCTCAAGACTGGGGCTGGGAAGGTGGCTCAGTGGTAGAGCGCTTGCCTTGCATATGTGAGGCCCTGGGTTCGATTCCTCAGCACCACATAAGCAAAAAGAAAAAAGCCGGAAGTGGCGCTGTGACTCAAGTGGTAGAGTGCTAGCCTTGAGCTGAAGAGCTGAGGGACAGCGCCCAGGCCCAGAGTTCAGGCCCCATGACCGGACCCCCCCCCCAAAAAAAAAAAAAAAAAAAAAAAAAGATTCTCAAGACTTTCCTGCCTGGGCTTGCTTTTAACTGTGATCCTAAGGGCTGGGAAGGTGGCTCAGTGGTAGAGTGTTTGCCTTGTATGCATGAGGCCCTGGGTTTGATTCCTCAGCAACACGTAAGCAAATAAAGCTGGTAGTGGCGCTGTGGCTCAAGTGTAGAGTGCTAGCATTGAGCTGAAGAGCTAAGGGACAGGGGCCAGGCCAGAGTTAAGGCCCCACAACCAACCAAATCCAAAACTGTGATCCTCTGATCTCAGCCTCTAGAGTAGTTAGGATTACAAGTGTGGAGTACTAGCAAGAGTCACTGGTTCTTAACCTTTTTGCTCGAGGCTAAGCTACACCTCCAGTTCCAGCTTTTTATTTATTTATTTTTGCTAGTTAATAGAAGATAAGAGCTTTTGGACTTTCTGGCCTGGTCTCCAAACTTGATCCTCCAACTCAGCTCCTTCCGGTGTGGTTAGGATTAAAAGCAAGAGCAGCCACCAGTGGTTGGAATTTTTGAGCTGGTCTGAGATTAAAGTGGACTGGGTGTTTGTTGAGCTAGTCCAGCTGCTTCCCTCTTATCTGGTAGAGACATCAGTAACTCTTTGATCTAGTGACTATAAATTAGTACCTGGAGAGCTACTAGGCTATGCTGTTTGTTTTTGTTGGTTGTGGGCTTGAACTCAGGGCCTGGGCATTGTCCCTGAGCTTTTGTTCTCAAGGCTAGTGCTCTACCACTTGAGCCAAAGCACCAATAGGAAGTAAAAGATTAGATTCGACAGGTCTGGATTTGTTACTTAAACCAGGCCTACAGCAATGAGAGAAGCTGCTGTTTTGTGCCCAAAACTTACTTATTTTCTTCACTTCACTAAACTTACCTTGGTGTGTCCCTGTCCGTGTGTGTGTGTGTGTGTGTGTGTGTGTGTGTGTGTGTGTGTGTGTGTGTGTGTGTGTGTGTGTGTGTGTGTAGGGGTGGGGTGGGGAGGGGGCTTGAACTCTCAGCCTGGGTGCTGTCCTTTAGCTTCTTTGCTCAAGGCTAGTGCTCTACCACTCTAACCACAGCTCTACTTCCAGCTCTTTGGTGGTTAATTGGAGCTAAGAGTCTCCCAGTCTTTGTTGTCCTGGCTGGCTTTGAGCTACAATCCTCAAATCTCAGGGTCTTGAATAGCTAGGATTATAATAGGCTTGACACACTCAGCCTGAAACCCACCCTTTCATTGCGCAAAAGGAAAGGACAAGGCAAGGTGTGAACAGGCATTGGGATTGTTTTACGAAGCCAACAGTGAAATGAACCAGACCTGGCAACTTGGATCTCATCCCTCCACCCCCTAAACTCCGCACAGCGATACTCTCCCACCGCATCCTACACTTACTGTGCCAGCTGCTCCATGGATAGTCCCTACCCATTTGAAAAGGTTGTCTGATTCAGGGAAGGCAGAAATTCCTTTGTCACCAGACATCTGGAGGAAGAAAGACAACAACCCCGGTGTCATCACAGCCTGAGCCCAAATAAAGCAACCCACGGACAGTCTCATCACCAGACGAAGGAGAAAGGGGTTGTGTGGGGACACAGAAGGCAGCAGGGCACCCATAATCTTATCAGGTGTCAGGAATTCAATTATACCATATGGCACTGAAGGATTTGTACTTAATTTAGGGATAATTCAGCAAAAGATAATTAGGAAGCAAAGATTTCAACATCAAGAAAGCAAGGAATTGGTCATGGGTAAAACTTGGGGTTAGGAAGCCAGGGTGGACAGGGCAGGGCAGGCTTAGGATGACTTCCGGGAACCGTTCTAGAAAGAGTTTCATGGGGGGAGGGGATGGAAGGAACTGGGGGGTAGAGACTGTTTAGGCATGGGTGGGAGGAGGAGTGATTTCTCAGAATTGAGTAAATTATACTGACGTTCCCACCCCTGTGTGTAGCAGGGAGCCTGATGCGGGAAAGGAGGGTGCTGATAATTGGGTGGAAGGTGGGAGGATGGATCAATTGAGATCTGAGAAAACTGGGCCACTCACCATGAGGGTCATCAGCTCCTGCTGTAGCCTGCAAAGAGAACTGAGGGTCACCTGGGAGTCTGTGGTGGTCAGGTGGGGCACCTCCGTCCCCCCGAATCTCTCCTAAGGGTCTGTCGCGGAGGCGCTCCCTTTTCCAAGGTCACACTCCTCTTCTGTGCGGGAGACCCCGAGTGCACTGTCCCCCTCCCCAGTTCCTGGCGCCTTCTCGGCTCCCCGGTGTCCTCCGGCGTCTTCCGGGGGGACCCCGGCGGCGTCTCCACCCTTCCGCGCTCCCGGAGCGTCCCTCGGTCCGCACCACTCACCGCTTGCCCACTGGGCCCCGGGCGGCGCCCCCGCTCGGCTCGGCTCCTTTGCGGGAGGCGGCGACGCTGGCGGCGGCTGGGTCGCGGTTTTGGGAGGCCATCGGGGCGGCGCTGGCAAGGAGACAGAAAGTCCACACCGGGGAAACTGCGGGGCTGCGGGCCGCCCGCCCGCGTTTGAATCGTAACCCTCCGGCAGCGTCAGCCAATCGCAGGCTCGCTTGGGTTTGATCCAGCCAATGCGAGAGCCCCGTTGCCGCGCAGCTGCCGGGCCACCCACCGGCGCGCCGCTATTGGGCGGTGCGGGCCTACTGCGGGCCCCCGATTGGAAAGAGCTGCTGCCATTAACTAGCGAGGTGCAGCGGATAGGTGGCCTTTGGAAGAAGCCGACCATTAAAGGGCCTAGAAACCATCCACGTGCTCCTGAAGGCCCAAGGCCGTGCTATCTTCAGGCTCCTGGCACGCCCTGCCTAGATCCCTTCTTCCTGGAAAGGGAGCCTCCCTAATCTGGCAGCACCAATGTCCCAAACCAGAAGCTTTGCTCCTCTCCATATTCCAAGGGCTCTGGTATCTATGTTGGGGTCCCAAGTATCTGGATAGGTAGGGGGTGATGATCAGAGCAGTAGACTCCCTATCATCCCTCTCCAACCGGTTTACTTTATGACTGATCAGGTCAGCTAGTGCTTTAACCTGTAAAATGGGGTAATAACAGTGGCAGGCGCTGGGTGGCTAACACCTGTAATCATAGCTACTCAGGAGGCTGAGATCTGAGTTCGTGGTTCAAAGCCAGCCTGGGCAAGAAAGTTTTACCTCCAGTTAACTACTAGAAAACTGGAAGTGAAGCCGTGGCTCGAAGTGGTAGGATGCTAGCTTGAGCTAAAGAGCTCAGGAACAGGGCCTAGGTCCTGAGTTTGAGCCCCATGACTAACAACAACAACAAAAAAAGCAAACAGAGACTTTCCTTTGGTCTGTCATCAAATCTCCAGGGAACATCCCTGCCCTTCATTAGCTGTCCTTCATAAGAAGGACAGGAGAGAAATGGTGTTCCCAGCTTGGATCCCTAAAGCCTGGGTCTATGAAATGGGGGGCGGGGGGGGGGGGGGGGGGGGGGCACCTGCTTCTGGAATCCTTGATGTTCTGTCAGCCCCAACAAGGTAGGTGGTAGAGCAGGCTCACCAAGGGCATTTATTAAAAACTGTTTAATTGCTTCTTATTCCAATAACTTTACAAATATCGAACCAATTTGCCAGTCCTGGGATGCTCTACAAACTCGCCCATGCACAGCTCAACGCTGCTGAGATCCATTGAGAAGCAGTCTCAGGAATGGCCTCAGCCATGCTGGGTGAAGAGGGTCTCAGAGGTGCTGCCCAGTGTACACAGGAGACCCCTCAGGTCTGTGGAGGCGCTTCAACAGCACGATGCTCATTCTCTGTCCGTAGTGTCTCCATGTACTTTCGCATCTTTTCAACCATCCAGGAGGGTAGGACAAAAGATTTTAGCTCCTCTAACTTCAAGTCCAGGCACCCTCTAGAACAGGCATTGGAATGGAAGTTAAGAAAAGGAAGGAAGTAGGCCCAGTCTCGTCCCAGGGGCAGAGAGTGGTTCGTGTAAGGGGCAGGAGGTTCACTGGATTTACCTGTAGTCATCGCTGGCAGCAAGGTCACGGATGTCCTCCTCAATGAGAAGGTAGGCCTGCAGTGGGAGCAAGGGAGAGTGGTCACTGCTCCTCATTCATTGCAGTCCAGACTTTCTTAAAGATCTGTTTTAAGTAAGGCTACTTACTTTAGGTAGGAGAGAGATGTTTAGCAGGGAAGAGTAAAGTAGAGAGAAACTGGGGAATACTTCCTTGAGAAAAATCTTTTATTTAAATAGCAACTATGGGAGGGATAGCAGGGACTGCCTCTGAACCTTGATTCTCAAATCTCAGCCTCCTGCATAGCTAGAATTACAAGTGTGAGCTAAGGGCTCCTGGCTAACCCCCCATATCAGGGCCTGAACAGAAGGCCTCAAGCTGTCTGGGCTTGCTTTTGCTTGCTCATGATTGGCACTCTTACCACAGAGCCACACCTCCAGCCACACCTTTCTAATTGATGTTGTTTTTCATGTTATCAGTGGTAAGCTCCTGAAATATTTTGTAAAATAGATAAATAAAGCATGGACATAAAGTAATAAAATGATGAGAGCGAGCTCTCATTGCCAGTTTGCAAGGCCATTAGGTGGCATGTGGAGCAGTTATAGCAGTAGGATGAGTCCTTGGGTGGGAAAGCCCTCCATGGCAATTTTGAAACACATACCTTAGAAAATATGTGTTTCAGGGGTGGGGGGGGGGGCGGGGAGGATAGGAAGGGATGGGAAGGGGAAACAAAGGAGGAGGCTACAATGCTTGATAAGAAATGCACTCATTATCTTGCCCATGTAATTGTAACCCCTCTGTACAATATTTTCACAATAAAAAAAAAAAAAAAGAAAATATGTGTTTCCTAAGGTTGCTGCTGCTAAGAGCTGGGGAAGTACAAGTGAGTGTGGGAGGCACTGCCATGTATAGCAAACACATTCCACCGCACATGCTGACTCCTATCGACAAGGGGCAGCCTGCAGAACTGTGCTGAGAGAAGAGTCTCCAGCCGTGTCAGAAGAAGAGCGTTGCCATCAGTGGGAAACTCTATCCATGGCACAGGAAGGAGAAGCAGCATTAAACGTAACTGCCATGCCTAGGCACAGCTAAATGCAATGCAAAGATGTGGTTTTGGGGAAATGAGGAGGGAGGGTGAGGAGAGAGCGGAAGCTGTAGACATGGGAAGCTGAAATCTGTGGATTTCAGTGTTCTCTATAGAATGAAGCAATGGCTTCCACAAGATTCCCTTCTCACATTCTTTGGGCTTAGAGAGTTTCCCAGATTTCAAAGTGAACTATCACCAACAGCCAGAATCCTGGTCCATGGGCTGGGTGGGTCCCTGGCAGTGGTACATATGAACAGTGCTTACCATCTTCCCGCCGGTTGCCCTCATATGATGCTGCTCAGCCAGCCAGTGCTTGTCCTGGGGGTCAGCTGCATACTGTGAGGGATGAAGTCACCAGCAAACATTAGCCTGGCGGGAGGGGCTTTCCTCTTGGTAAGAACCAAACTTTGTCCTACCCTGGCGGATGCAGATGGCTCACTGATCTCTTCCGAGCAAGCCAAGTGGAGGCCAGGGGAACAGGACTCTGACACAATTCCCAGAGATGCAATATACTTCTATTCCCAACCCCTTCATTCCTTAAAACACACCATCTCTGGCAATTAGTGGGACTGGTTAATTAGGATTTCAGTCTTCCTTCCTTGCCTCCCTCCCTCCTTTTTAAAGCACCTGGGAACCTGCACAGAAAGTGGCAGATCTAGCCTCTGATGCTGGTGGTTCTGGCAAGGGGCACCAAGCCTGATGTACAGATGCAAAACACACATGTAAGTGCATTACTGTTCTGATGGAATTAGACCATTTAGATGTTTTTGTGACTGATAAAATAGACATTCATCTAAGTGGGGAGTAGAAATTTAAAATTTAAATTTAATAATAGGAATTTTCAAACAGTAGCTCTTCAAACTGTGTTTGGGACACAATGTGTGGGAAATAGCTGTTAGTACTAAAGTACAGAAGTGTTGAGTACATCATGAAAGGTAGACGTGTGAGGTACAAGAGTGACTAGAACCTGGCACTCACCTACCTTAAAGAGGTGTGGGTGCTTGATGTAAATTCTTCCTCTGGTGCCCCCCATCCCCAAGGCCCTACAAAGTAAAAAATAAAATGGTAAGGGGCAGTGCCAAGTAGTGGACCTTTGACCTGCGCCCTCCATCAGCACTGAAGCTCACTGGCTTACTTGTTGGCTCGGGATCCCAATACAAAGGTTGTAGATTCATTCAGCCGAGCTGGGTCCCACTGTGCAAAAACAGAGGCTGGTGAGGCTGAGGTTTAATGGTGGAGGCTAGAATCATTCCTGACCTTTTCCCATCATCATCTGTATACATTACTCATCAGTTTATTCAGGACACAGAGTATTTGCGACATGCTAGGCTCTGTGCTAGATGCTGCGGATAAAGATAAGGTGCAGTCTGTGTTCTCCACGAGCCCCAGACATAGATATGACCAGACCACTGTGCCAGGGGGCAATGACAAGGCTGAGTGGAGGGTGGGAGAAGTGCCAAACGGGATGGCACAGCCAGGAAGTCTCCCTTGAAGATGACGAAGGCAGCAGTGCGAAGCAGGAGGAAGGGGGAACTGCAGTGTATCTGGGAGGCGGAATCACTGAGGACTTGCTTGGATACAGGGAGGTAGGGAAAGGAACTGGCAAAGATGATGAAGGTAAGGAGTAGAAAAGGTCTCTAAGGAAAGATTCTGACTTTAGTTCTGGACCCTGCTGTGTTTGAAATGCCTGTGGAACTTATAGGCAGAGAGGTCTAGCAGATAGGAAGAGACATAAGGTTTAAAGCACAGAAGTGTGTGATAAAGACTAAGGAGCTGTAGCATGTGGCAGTCCTCAAAACCATAAAGTGGATTGTTGAGATCGCTCAGAGAAGCTTTAAGGGAACTAGGCTGAAGAGAGAATTCTGGTGAGCACCTATTACATGAGTCATTGCTGAGGAAGAAAAACTCACAAGACAAAGAAGGAAAGTTTGGATAGAACGGAAGGATCCAGGAAAACCGTCACCAGCTTAAAGGCAGAAGTTTTAGAAGAAAAGCACAATGACCAGAGAAGGCTAGAGGGCAAGAGGTGGCCCTGACATCTTCTGGACATAATTCCAGTGACAGGGTTCTTTTATCTACTTTACTGGGCTTCACACAAGGGCAGTTACTTGAGGAGTGTGTTCTGACTGTTAAAGGAGCTTGCAAATGATTGTTGTGCATGCAACAGAGCTTAATGGTGTCAACAAACTTTGGGTCTGAGATTTGGCTCTGTCACTTCCTAGTCTCAAGTGTGTGGAGGGTGTAAGACAACTACAGAAAATGAGGTAAGTTTTGCCTGTAGGGGTGATTGTCTCAACTAAAGAACAGGAACAGAATCAAATTAACTTTGTTACAAAGATTAAGTGAGAAAAATCCATATAGGACAGTGCCTGTCATATATTAACTAATAAGTAAAGTGTTAGTAAATCAAAGGCCTCAGCTCTCAGTAGACATTTTGTTAGGAAAGCGCTATGTCACTGGGCTACATCTCCAGCTGGGCTCTTGGTTTTCCTTCTCATTGTAATTCCTACACGTTATCCTCTCTGGAGGCAGGGTAGCTGGAGGAAGATAGGGAAAATGGCTCTGGAACAGTGTGAACACATCCCGTATCTCCCCAACTGCTTTCCCTGGTGGGGAGGCCTTAGTTGTCTCTTTGAGGTAAAGTCACTGCCGTGCTCATAGCATACCTTGGGGCCTTCTCGGCGAATTGGTTCACAGGATTTTGGCTTCCATCTGCTTAGGAAGGGAAGAAGACAAGTGAATTTTCTAAGGGTGAAGGCAATGCCTAAGATGGGGAGGAAGCAGCAGCTGTGGTGGAAGCCCTTCAAATACGCTCACTTTAGTCTCTGGGCACTTTTCCTGGTAACTCAGTAGAAGCAACGGGAAAGAAGCACTGCTCCAGAAGCCATTCTGGAACTGGCTCTGATATGACCTAGCATTGGCTTGCCCCAAGGCTAGGTGCAGCTTCTTATCTGTCCAGAGGTGGCAGCTGCATAGGAAAACAGCCCTCTCCATCTTGTGACAATTCATGAGGAACGAAAGTGTTTCAGGAGGGAGACAAACTTGAGAGGTGATGGGTAATACTACTTCATCTGAGCCAGTCATCTGAAATTATTCCCTTCCCCCTTAGCTAGATCTATGTAGACTTTTCTGTTTTATATACTGGTCTTCTGTATAAAGTTTTGTTTGAAAAGGATTCTGCTGCTTCAACCCTGTAAACCCAGGGTGAAGAGAAGGGACGAGTAGGAGGGGTACAGAAGATATTTGGCACAGTGAGTTTTCTGTGTGATACCATAGTAGTTAAGATACATGTCATTACACATTTGTCCAAACTCAGCATGTGCAACGCCATAGTGAACCATTAGTTCTGAGTGCAGAGGATGTCAGGCAGATCCACCAAATGTAATAGATGTATTACTGCTCTGCTGCCTGACACCGCTAGTAGGAAGCTGTGCATGTGTACTGGCAGGGAGTGGAAGGACTATCAGAACTTTGAAAATGACCATCCTGTAGGTAATGCAGTATTTGTTTTGCCCCTTATTAATCTTATGATCTTTGGCGAATAATTCCGAGTGTGTTCCTTTATCTCCCACAGGAATACCTTCTCTAGAGGATGCTATTAGGACTAAGAAGTAGTCTATTCAGTATTTGGTCAGCTATAGTGTTCAATATATACAAAAAATGGAACAAGTCTGGTGTTTAGTCAAGCTGGACTCAACTGTTCTGGGGCAAAACTGGATAAAACATTTCGTTCTCAATGCCCCAGTAACCCTCTTTCACGGTGGCATAAGCGATGGACCTGGTTTCACTGGATGCAATTGGGGATCCTTCCCTTGGGGCCTCTTTCCCTCTGTTCCCTTCAGCTCTCACCACACCGTTGGCCTCTACTCACACCATGCCAGAGGCTGCCCGGTCATTTGACAGGATGTGTCCAGGAGGCCGTCCTTTCCTCTGCCACAAAGAAGAGCTATTAGTTCTCTGTGGGAATAGTTGCCTACCGCTCACTGCCCACGTTCAGGTTCAGGGTCATTGGTGAAGATGGTTTTCCAAAGAGACCAAATAATGCTTGGGAGGGACCAGCAGGGAGAGTATGGCTTCTCTGGGGCTCCTGGGAGACCCAACCCCAAGGTGCATGAGGAAGCCCACTGCCTTCCTCTTCAGTGGAAGGGTCTTTTCCCAGTTAGAAAAATCAAATAGAGAAATGACTTATTCACCTTTTTGGGAATGGGGCTTCCTCGATGGGCACACTCTTCTTCTGTCTGCCGCCCACGCTGTAGGGAAAAGGCAGGAGAGTCAGTGGAAGGCCAGTACCTGGGAGCAACAAGTCTTTGGGGATTGCAGGAGACAAAGCTGCAGTCCCAGGCCTCAGAAGCCCACCCAGTATGAGGCTAACTGGACCTGGTCCCACCAAGGGGTGGTACATGAAACTCCTTGGCCTCCATATTCACCTGTGTCCCAGCCTAACTGCTCTCCCCCCACCCAATATCCCAGGCCACAGTGACTCTGACCTTTATCCCTGGAAGTTCATGGGCCAATCTAGGTATTACTTTTTCTCCATCTGAAAAGAGTAACTTGGCCTGAAAGGAAACGAATGAGAGTTAACACTCACTTTTGGTAGGTAAACCTACCCTTGGCCTACTCATTTTTGTAAACACAACTCCAAACTGGGTTAAAGCCTCTCTACAGGTAATAAAAAGGAATGGATGTATATACTTTTCTTTCAGTGAGTAAGATGGAAAGGCATAGAACATGAATTCATTTACAAAGATGTGGGCTTCCTTAGTGGGCACATTCCTTTTCTGCCTGCTCATAAAGCTGGAGGAAAAGGGAGGGGGTCTGTGTGAGGCATCCATCCATCCATCTTAAAAAATTCATGAAGCCGGACACCGATGGCTCATGCCTGTCATCCTAGCTACTCAGGAAGCTGAGATCTCGCTTCAAAGCCAGCCCAGGCAAGAAAGTCTGTGAGATTCTTATCTCCAATTAATCACTAGAAAACTGGAAGTGGTGCTGTGGCTCAAGTGGTAGAGTGCCAACCTTGAGCACAAAGAGGCTCAGTGACAGTGCCTAGGCCTTGAGTTCAAGCCTCACAACCGACCAAAACAAAAAAATTAATGATTATTCTTGAAAAGATAGTAAATAAACAAAACTAAGAAATTAAACCTCAAATCTGATTACCCACAGAAAACTACTGTTAGTGTTTCAATGCAGGTTATTCCCTACTTTTCCATATCAATATATATCATACATTAATATCATACATATTCCTGTTATATACTTTATATATATATACTTTATATACTGTTATATCCTGTTATTTTCCCTTAGTGTACCTATGGAGCTCCTGGAACATAAATGGGCATGACAGCAGGTTTGGAGCTCCTAAGTCCTGTGGAACTTATGTCCTGTGAGTGGACTGGAGAATGAGAATGTAAGCATTCATACAAGATAATTTCAGGGGCTGGGAATGTGGCTTAGTGGTAGAGTGCTTGCCTAGCATGCATGAAGCCCTGGGTTTGACTCCTCAGTACTGCATACACAGAAAAAGCCAGAAGTGGTGCGGTGGCTCAAGTGGTTGAGTGCTAGCCTTGAGCAAAAGCAGCTCAGGGACAGTGCCCAGGCCTTGCATTCAGGACCCAGGACTGGCCAAAAAAAAAAAAAAAAAAAAAAAGATAATTGCAGATCATGATAAATACAAAGAAGAAAAAAAAATTCAAGTATTTGTGATAATCCTAAAGAGGGCAGGCTGTTTAAGTGGGAGGCCTGAGGAGAGCCTGAGCTGAGACAGAGGATACTACAGGACCAGCTGAGTAGAATAGACGTGATGGTGCATGCCTGTGGACCCAGCTACCCAGGAGACTGAGGAAAGAGGACCGCTTCAAGCCTGGAGTTTGAAATAAGCTTGGGATAGAACAGTGACTCCCACTCAGGAAAACAAACAAACACAGGAAAGAGAAGTTGAACAGAGGTATGTTTCAGCAATGGAGAGGGGTGCAAAAGTCCCAGGAGGAAGAAAGAATGGCCTGGAAACTAAAGGGCAAAGGGAAGGGAGAGCGGCATGTGAGGAGCAAGGCACTTGGTGGAGGTAAGGTGGACAGGTGGTAAGGTAAGGTGGCAAAGGCTTTGCTGATCAGGGCATTTCAGGGCCTTGGGAAGGGTTTCTACAGTGCTGAGCGCTCCCCCTACTGGACACATTCTTTCCACAGGCTTTCCCTAGCCACTCAGTCCTCTTTGCTGACTTCTTCAGTTTGGTTCTTACTCTTATTCCCTCCTCTCTCATTAGACATGGTATCTGCTTTCATCTTCCTTCAGTTTCAATTAACATTTACAAACTGATTCTCTCTCTCTCTCTCTCTCTCTCTCTCTCCCCCCATCCATCTAAACTATCCACCTTAGATTCTTCTCAGCCTCCTGGGTGTTGGGATTACTATAGCATATACTATACCCAGCCTTCATAATTTTTTTTCTACTTAATGTTATTTTTAAAAATTTTATTATTGTAGGGGCTGGGAAGGTGGCTCAGTGGTAGAGCGCGCTTGTATGCGTGAGGCCCTGGGTTCGATTCCTTAGCACCACATAGGCAAAAAGAAAAAAGCTGGAAGTGGCACTGTGGCGCAAGTGGTAGCGCGCTAGCCTTGAGCTGAAGAGCTGAGGGACAGAGCCCAGGCCCAAAGTTCAGGCCCCAGGAGCTGGTCGCCTATAATCCTAGCTACTCAGAAGGCTGAGATCTGAGGGCTGCAGTTCAAAGCCAGCCCAGGCAGGAAAGTTCCTGAGACTCTTATCTCTAATAAACCACCAGAAAACCAGAAGTGGTGCTGTGGCTCAAGTGGTACAGCACACACCTTGAGCTGAAGAGCTCAGGGACAGTGCCTAGACTCAAGAGTTCAAGCCCCACAACCAAAATAAATAAATAAATAAAAACAACCCAAAACTATATATATTTATATCTATATATAGTAAAGATGCTGTAAAGAGAGGTTACAGTTACAGTTACATGAGTAAGGTAACAAGTACACTTCTTGTCAAAGTCTTATTTGTTAGTTTATGTCTGTATTGGGGCCTGAACGCAGGGCCTCATGCTCTCATGTGGCTTTTTTGGCTTAGTGCTGCCTACCACTTGAGCCATACTACCACTTCCAGTGTTTTGCTGGTTTAACTGGATCTAAGAGTCTCATGGACTTTCCTGCCTTGGCTGGTTTTGAACTGTGATCCTCTCAGCAGTGTAGCTAGGATTACAGGTGTAAGTGATCAACATCTATTTTGTTTTGTTTGGTCATGGGGCTTGAACACTGGGCCTGAGCACTGTCCCTCAGCTCTTCAGCTCAAGGGGAGCATTCTACCACTTGAGCCACAGCGCCACTTCTGGTTTTCTGGTGGTTTACTAGAGATCAGAGTTTCATGGTCTTTCCTGCCCAGGCTGGCTTTGAACTGTGATCCTTAGTTCTTAGCTTCCTGAATAGCTAGGATTACAGGTGTGAGATACTGGCACCCAGCAATATATGGCTTTTAAAAAAATTATCAGTTCTAGCTGAAAAGGAGCTCTAGTTTTACCGGTCAAACTTAATGAGTTGTTTAATAAAATTGAACTTACGATCTTATCTTCTAAACTTTGTTCCTTATTTTTTTTTTTTGTTGGTAGTGAGGCTTGAACTCTGGGCTTGGGTGCTGTCACTGTACTCTTCAGCTCAAGGTGAGCGCTCTACTGCTTGAGCCACAGTGCCACTTCTGGTTTTCTAGTGGTTTATTGGAGATAAGAGTCTCATGGACTTTTCTGCCTGGGCTGGCTTTGAACTGCGATCCTCAGATCGTAGCCTCCTGAGTAGCTAGGATTACAGGTATGAGCCACTGGCACCTGGCAATTTTTTTCCTTTTTAATGAGGATGGCGATTTGGTCCCTACCTGTCTGTCCAGTGAAGATGGAGCTTCTAAGAGCAGGTAGCCTATTTGTTTGTGCATTCATTTATTTAACCACTCAGCAAACACTGCAGATTAGTCATATTCCAGGGCTGGGAATACAGTGGTGAGCAAAATCAGACCTCAACTGTTGTAGGAGTGGGAGGGAGGCAAAAAGTAACTGCCCTAACATTAGGTTGAAAGAAACGACAGAAATAAGGAAGTGTCAGAGGCAGGGAAGGGAGTGAGGTGAGGAGCCACTTTATTTTATTTTTTTTGTCAGTCATGGGGCTTGAACTCAGCGCCACATTGGACTTTTCTGCTTGGGCTGGCTTTGAACTGCCAGCCTCAGATCTCAGCCTCCTGAGTAGCTAGGATTACAGGCCCTGAGCCTGGCTAGGAGCCGCTTTAGATGTAAGATGATGACACAGTGTGAGGGCCCTACACAAGGTGTGCTGCAGTTGTAGAAACAAGTCTACAATGGCTGAAATAACTAATAATGAAGTGGCAGGCTGCAAGGAAGTCGTTAGAGGCAGGCAGATGGTTCAGGCATGGTTCAGAGCATCAAAGTGGGGCCTCAGCATTTTATTCTGTCTGCAATGGGAAGTTACTGGAGGGTTTTAGAATGATATAATCTCTCTCTCTCTCTCTCTCTCTTTTGGTCGGTCATGGGACCTGAATTCTGGGTCTAGGTGCTGTCCCACACCTCTTCAGCTTAAGGCTAGTACTCTACCACTTGAGCCACAGTGCCACTTCCAGTTTTTTCTGCTTATGTGGTGTTGAGGGATCAAACTTAGGGCCTCATGCATGCAAGTCAAGCACTCTACCAACTGAGCCACCTTCCCAGCTCAAACAATCTCATTTTTTCAGAAATTAGTTTGACTGCTGGGAGAAGAATGGATCAGAAGTGAGAGTAGACAGAGCTCAGGACCACCATATCAATTTATGAATATCAACAATTAAATTGGTTTTTAAGCCAAAGGACTAAATGAACTCAGGAGTGTGAGCCACAGAAGAGAAGGGAAATGAGGGCTGTACTTCGGAGATACCAACACTTAAAGAGTTGGGGACAGAACACACACACATACACACACACACACACTTTGTTGTCAGTCGTGGGACTTGAACTCGGGGCCTGGACACTATCCCTCTGCTTTTGTCTTCAAGGCTAGTGCTCTACCACTTTGAGCAATAGCACCACTCCAGTTTTCTAGTGGAGATAAGAATCTCACAGTCTTCTCTGCTGGGGCTGGCTTTGAACTGTGATCCTTAGATCTTAGTCTCTTGAATAGCTAGGATTACAGATGTGGCTATTCAGGAAGCTGAGATCAGAGGATTTCAGTTCAAAGACTGGGTGGGAAAGTCCTCCCCCATCCCCAACTCTTATCTCCAATTAACCACCAGAAAACCAGAGTGGAGCTGTGGCTCAAAATGGTAGAGAGCTAGCCTTGAGCAAAAAAGCTCATGGGCAGTGCCTAGGCCCTGAGTTCAAGCCCTGTGACCTACATGAACAACAACAAAAAAATTTGCTCTATATTTTTTGTTTTATTGTTTTCATAATGGATGAGGATAAAACTCTTTGGGCTTTTACCCCCCTGTGCTCTGATTCCGAGCACCAACCTTCTGTGTTCCATACTCTGGCTTCTTAGTTACATCAGTATTGCTAAGGGGCCACTACCTAGTAGACACTGGGTGGGAGGATCAGGATACTGGAAAGGTACAACCATTCACTGAGCAAGTTACTTAGCTTTAACTTCTTTACCTTTTACTCCATCTCAATGGTCTTCTAAGTACCCTTCCAAATCTCATGGTATACCGAAGAATCTTTTCTGTATTGTCCAGACTAGCCTTGAACTCATGATCCTTGTGCCTAAGCCCCAAGTGGTGGGATTACAGGCGTGCACCATTGCACCTGGTAAGAAATTTCCATCGTTGACAGCTAATGGTTTCAAAGTCAAGCAAACAATTTGGGTGATACCAACAATCCCTATTAATAACAGCAGCTGACACATCAAACAGGTTCTCCACTGTCTCAGGAACAGTCATTTATAGACTTGATGTCATGCTTTCTGACTACACCTGACCATCAGGCAGGCAGCAAGGGTGCTGGTCCCCATGACATCGAAGGAACTGTGACTAACTGAAGGTGATTCTAAGCACTTGCAGAAGTGAGACAGATCTCAGCTTTTGAGTCAATAACTTTTTTCTTTTTTGGTCTGCCACTTTAATTTTTATTTTTTTCTAGTTTTATTGAGGTTGATATATATATATATTTTTTTTTTTGTTTTGTTTTGTTTTGTTGGTTGTGGGGCTTGAACTCTAGGTCTGGGTGCTGTCTCTCAGCTCTTCAGCTCAAGGCTAGCGCTCTACCACTAGAGCCACAGCTCTACTTCTGCTTTTTCTGCTTATGTGGTACAAGGCAAGCAGTCTACCAATGAGCCACCTTCCCAGGCCCCGAAACCGTATATTTTAAGACAATGTGATGATCTGATGTATGTATGCATACGTTTTGATGAGTTTAATCAGTACATTCATATTATATAGTTGCCTCTCCGTGTGTGTGTACACTTATGATCTATTATTATGAACAAAATTTTTGCTTCTGTGTGACTGTGTGTGCTTGAACTCAGGACCTGGGCACTGTTCCTTAGCTCTTCTGCTTAAGGCTAACACTAGCCAGGGCAAAAAAGTTTACAAGAATTTTTATCTCCAATTAGCGTGAAGTGGAGCTGTGGCTCAAGTAGTTTACCATCAGCTTTAAGTGAAAAAGCTCAGTGCCCAGGCCCTGAGTTCAAGTCCTAGTACTAGCACATAGACAAACACATATACAAAAAAGTCTTACAGAGTTATTTCCCCGGCTGGCTTAAAACTGTGATTCCTCAGATCTCTCTCTCCTGAGTAGGTAGGATTATAGATATGAATCTGTAATAGAGCCAAGCTGCATAATTTTTTTTTCCTTAACTGTATTATTTTTTTGTCTTTTCTTCTTTGGTACTGGGGATTGAAACCAGGATGATGCACTTGCTAGGCAAGCGCTGAGCTACATCCCAGCTTTTTTTTTGTCCATTGTGGGGCTTGAACTTGGGGCCTAGGTGCTTTCCCAGCTCTTTTGCTCAAGGCTAGTACTCTGCCACTTTGACCAACAGCGCCACTTCTGGTTTTCAAGTGGTTAATCTCATGCACTTTCCTTTCATGAGCTGGCTATGAAATGTCTCAGCCTCCTGAGTAGGTAGGCTTACAGGTATAAAACCACCAGTGCCTGGCCATGGATTTTTTTTTTTTCGGTCCGGTTGTGGGGCCTGAACTCTGGGTCTGGGCTCTGTCCCTCAGCTCTTCAGCTCAAGGCTAGCGCTCTACCACTTGAGCCACAGTGCCACTTCCAGCTTTTTTCTTTTTGCTTATGTGGTGCTGAGGAATCGAACCCAGGGCCTCATGCATGCAAGGCAAGCGCTCTACCACTGAGCCACCTTCCCAGCCCTGGCCATGGATTTATTTATTTATTTTTTATTTTTTGGGTCTGGTCGTGGGGCCTGAACTCTGGGCCTGGGCGCTGTCCCTCAGCTCTTCAGCTCAAGGCTAGCGCTCTACCACTTGAGCCACAGTGCCACTTCCAGCTTTTTTGTTTTTGCTTGTATGGTACTGAGGAATCGAACCCAGGGCTCAGGCATGCAAGGCAAGCGCTCTACCACTGAGCCACCTTCCCAGCCCTGGATTTTTTTATTGTTGGTCGTGGGGCTTGAACGCTGGGCCTGGGCGCTCTTCAGGTCAAGACGAGCACTCTACAACTTGAGCCACAGACCACTTCCAGTTTTCTGGTGGTTAATTGGAGCTAACAGTCTTATGGACTTTCCTGCCTGGGCTGGCTTTGAACCGCGATCCTCAGATCTCAGCCTCCTGAGTAGCTAGGAATACAGGCATGAGTCACTGGTGCCTGGCCTATGGATTTTTTTTTTTTTGACATATAAATATTGCATTTATCACCATTCCTAGCTCACAATAGTTACTTATCTTTCGTTCTCTGTCAGCAAGCAGCCCAAGCCTGCTGGGCAGTCCTCCAAATAACAATGACGAAAAGATCAAATTTCTTTTTCTTTCTTTTCTTCTTCTTTTTTTTTAAAATAGGGACTGCTTCATGAATTTGTTTGCCTTCCAATCTTAGTGTATAAACTACTGGATCACCTTTCTTAGCTTTAGGTCTGTCTGCTGATTCCTTTGGTCTCACCTGCTCCAGGCAGCTCCGACAGGCTTCCTGGATCAGCTGCTCTGTGTCAACCTCTTCTCCAACATTGTCTCGCACATTCAGTGCCGCCTTCTGGAAGAACTAGGGAAGTAAACAAGAGGATAGGTCATTTGCATCAATCAAAAGAAAAAAAACAAGGGGCTGGGAAGGTGGCTCAGTGGTAGAGTGCTTGTCTTGCATGCATGAGGCCCTGGGTTTGATTCCTCAGCACCACATAAGCAGAAAAAGTCGGAAGTGGCACTGTGGCTTAAGTGGTAGAGTGCTTGCCTTGAGCTGAAGAGCTGAGGGACAGTGCCCAGGCTGAGAATTCAGGCTGCATGACCGACAATAAATAAATAAATAAATGAAAGCTTCTATCCTACCTTTATAATGATGAAAAAAGTGATTATGAGCAGGGTTGGGGATCAGACAAATTTAGATACCTATGGCAGGCTCTAGCTCCCTTTACTCCCTTTCTTTAAGGACAGAAGTATCCAAAGGAATAATACATATGCAGAGCAAAGTCAAAGGATAACCTGAATGTTCAAATGTAACTTAAGTAAATTACAGTATATTAGTACCATCAAATAACATGTAAGCCAGGCGACAGTGGCTCATGCTTGTAATCCTAGCTACTCAAGAGGCTGAGATCTGAGGATCATGGTTCAAAGCCAGCCCAGGCAGGGAAGTCTGTGAGACTCTTATCTCCAAAAAACCACTTGAAAACCAGAAGTGGCACTGTGGCTCAAGCAGTAGAGTGCTCACCTTGAGCTGAAGAGCTCAGGGACAGAGCCCAAGCCCAGAGTTCAAGCCCCAGGACCACCACCACCACCACCAACAACAACAACAAATGTAAGTATTAAAAATAATATAAAGTAGCTGAGTGCCACTGGCTCATGCCTGTAATCCTAGCTACTCAGGAGGCTGAGCTCTGAGGATCATGGATTGAAGCCAGCCGGGACAGTAAAGTCCATGACATGCTTCTCTCTTTCTTTCTTTTTTTTTGATCAGTCGTGGGTCTTGAGCTTGGGCACTGTGTCTCAGCTCTTCAATTCAAGGCTAGTGCTCTACCATGTGAGCCACAGTGCCACTTCTGGCTTTTTGATTTATGCGGTGCTGAGGAATTGAACCCAGGGTTTCATGCATGCTAGGCAAGCATTCTACAACTGAGCCACCTTCCCAGCCCCAAATGCTTATTTCCAATTAACCCCCAAGAAGCTAGAAGTGGAGTTGTGGTTCAAATAGTAGAGCTCCAGCCTTGAGCAAAAAAACCAAGTAAGAGCACAAGGCTTTGAATTCAAACCCTAGTATCAGTGCGTGTGCGCACACATATGCACACGTATAAAAACATACACTATAGTAAGGATAGCATAGGAATATGGCACTGGTGGTTAAGTTATTAGACCCAAGAATGAAGTCCGATCATGAATAAAACATTTTCTAACACTGTTGTAGAAATGAAAACCAACACAAACTTCCTGCAGAATATTTCGTTTTCCTGTTACCCTCTAATCCCACTTCAAGGAATTATCTTCCAGAAATATCTGCACAAGTGAACAAAGATGCACATTTATAGCATTCACTGTAGAATTGTTTGTAATGGAGAAAAACTGGAGACAGTCTGAATGTCCCAGGTACTAGATAATTAAATTATGGTACATGTACATCCATAAAACATACTACTCTATAACTACTATAAATGAGACAGGATGAGCCATTATGATGTGAACTAGAAACACGATAAAAATATATTAACTGAAATAAATTAAGTTGCGAAACAGTATGTGTAAAATAATCTTAAAAACAAACACATATGCATGCTAACACAATTCTGCTGGACTAACAGTAATTGCTAACAGTGGTATTTCTGGAAAATGAATTTTAATGACGTTTATCTCTGATTTTTGAAACAATCTGTATTAAAGAACATTCTTTTTCCTTTCTTTTTTTGTCAGTCGTGGGGCTTGAACTCTGGGCTTGGGCGCTATCTCTATACTCTTCAGCTCAAAGCAAGTACTCTACCACTTGTGCCACAGCACCACTTCCAGTTTTCTAGTGGTTAATTGGAGGTAAGAGTCTCACGGACTTTTCTGCCTAGGCTGGCTTTGAACCGTGATCCTCACATCTTAGCCTCCTCAGTAGCTAGGATTACAGGCATGAGTCACCGGTGCCCAGCTTAAAAAAATTCTTTATGGGACTAGGAAGGTGGGTCAGTGGTAGAGTGCTTGCCTTGCATGTATGAGGCCCTGGGTTCGATTCTACAGCACCACATAAGCAGAAAAAGCTGGAAGTGGCGCTGTGGCTCAAGTGGTAGAGCCATAGCCTTGAGCTGAAGAGCTAAAGGACAGTGCGCAGGCAGAGTTCAGGCCCCATGACCAACAAAAAAAAATCTTTATTGCCACACAAGAGATACTAACACTTGAGTCATAGCACTAGTCCCTGTTCATTTTTAGTTTTGTTTTGCATTTATGGCCTTGTGCTAACTTTGGCAGGACTTACCTCAAATTGCAAAATTGCATTTCTCTACCTCCTTAGTAGCTGGATTACAGGGGTTACTGTCACACCAAGATTTTTTTAAAAATTAGCTTATATTAGTTATACAGAAGAGGATTTCATTGTTGTATTTCCATATATTTGTAATACATTCTCATTAATCTCACCCCATCTATCACTCTCCCTTCCCTGTTTCCCAAAACAATTTTAACAAGTTTCATTGCTGGCTTGCTTTTTTTTTTTTGGGTCCAGTTGTGGGGCCTGAACTCTGGGCCTGGGCGCTGTCCCTCAGTTCTTCACCTCAAGGCTAGCACTCTACCACTTGAGCCACAGCGCCACTTCTGGCTTTCTTTTTTCCTGCTTATGTGGTGCTGAGGAATTGAACCCAAGGCCTCATGCATGTAAGGCAAGCGCTCTACCACTGAGCCACTTTCCCAGCCCGTGGCTTGCTTTTTAATTTTAAATTTTTTTTGTTCCATTACTGGGGCTTAAACTCAGGGCTTAGGAGCTATCCCTTAGCTTCCCCCATCCCCTCCCCCAGTGCTGTGGATCAAATCTCAAATTCACGTTTGTTTTTAGTTCTATGGCCCTCTTACCTTCATGTACTTGTTGAAGACAGTCTGGATCTCTTCATTGATACTAGGCTGCAGGACAGCTCGGAGGAGATCCATGGAGATGGCAGGATCTGTGAAACTGCTCAAAAAGGAGACAGAATCAGGGGACGTATCTCAAACATATCCTTTCCCAATTTGCTCTATTATTATTATTATTATTACTATTATTATGTTGGTTGTGGTGCTTGAACTATGGGCCTGGGCGCTGTTCCTGAGCTCTTCAGCTCAAGGCAAGTACTCTACCACTTGAGCCACAGCACCACTTCTGGTGTTCTGGTGGTTTCTTGGTGGTAAGAGTCTCACAGTCTTTCCTGCCCAGGCTGGCATTGAGCTGGGATCCTCAGATCTCAGCCTCCTGAGTAGCTAGGATCACAGGTGTGAGCCACTGGCACCTGACTTTGCTCAATTATTGACACAGGATTTTTTTTTGGCTGGTCGTGGGGCTGGAACTCTGGGCTTGGGCTCTGTCCCTCAGCTCTTCAGCTCAAGTCTAGCACTCTACCACTTGAAACATAGCGCCACTTCTGGCTTTTTCTGATTATGTGGTGCTGAGGAATCAAACCCAGGGCCTTATGCGTGCAAGGCAAGCACTCTATCACTGAGCCACGTTGCCAGCCCTGACACAGGATTTTTTTTAATAGTAATACCAGACAATTTTTACTAAAAACTGGCTATGTGCTAACATTTTATGCAAATCACTGTTCTCTTATGAAGTAACTATTATTTTTAGTTTTATGAAATGTATTTTTACAGAAAACTATATTTTAATATTTACAGTGAACATTCATTTAATCCTTATCCTGATTAAATATAACCAGCCAATATTGGAGCTCGAACTCAAGGCCTTGCACAATTGCTTGGCTTTATCATTTAATGCTGCTGCTCTACTACTTGATCCAAACTTCTACTTCTGGCTTTTTGCTGGCTAGTAGGAGATAAGAATCTCTTGGATTTGTCTGCCTGGGCTGGTTTCAGACTGTTATCTTAGCATCCTCAGAAGCTAGGATTACAGATGTGAGCCATCAACACTCTGCCCAAACGCCTATTTTTTATGCTCTCTCCCCTCCCTGAGCTGGTTATTATTATTAGCCCCATTTTGCAGCTGAGAAAACAGAGGCTCAGAGAGGTTAAGGAACTTTTTTTTACCCAGTTAATAAATCTTCTATATTAGAAGATGACTATCTGAGGGATGGGAACATGTCTCAAGTGGGAGAGCCCCTGCGTAAGCCATGAGTTGAAATCCCAGTATCACAATACCAAGCCAAACCAAACAAATTACAGTTGTCTGACTCCAAGGATACTCTTAATCTCCACACTGCAGAGCCAGCAGATGTTAGGTGTGGGATACATGAGTGGCCCTACAGACTGTTATGCTGGGAAAGTCCCAAGCATTACAGCCACCTTGTTTTTATTAGCCTTGGCAAACAAGCCAAGGGTAACAATGAAGTACGCAGTTGGAAGTAGGGACACACGGTGTTTCCTTCCTAATTAGACCGAATCCTCCTTATTTCCTTGAAGAATGCTTAAGGGGAATGGAAGGAAAATATGAACACTGGCACTTCCTCATGCTCAGTACGCTTATTTTTTTTTTTTTTTGGGTCCGGTCCTGGGGCCTGAACCTTGGGCCTGGGCGCTGTCCCTCAGCTCTTCAGCTCAAGGCTAGTGCTCTACCACTTGAGCCACAGCGCCACTTCCTGCTTTTTTCTTTTTGTTTATGTGGTGCTGAGGAATCGAACCCAGGGCCTTGAGCATGCAAGGCAAGCGCTCTACCACTGAGCCACCTTCCCAGCCCATCAGTACGCTATTTTGTATGCAGTGTACGAGGATGTTCAGATTTGAACTTTTCCAAGGCTCTTGTTCATAGAGGGCTTTAGTTCCACCTTGGTTATTGATTATAGCTCTCCCACAGTTAGGGATTTTCCATATTGTTAAATCTACCACTACCCCAGTTTTGTAGATGAGTAGTTCATAAGGGTAGGTGACTTGCTCACTGTCACATGAACTTACAGAACCTGAGTCATCTCTCTCTCTCTCTCTCTATTTCAGTCCAGTGCTCCCTCTGGGCTGCTGATCTCAGCCTTGCATAGTGGGGCTGCAAAACTCCAATCCAAGTCAATGTTTGAGATATAAATCCCACTCGGGGCCAGCCTTACCTGGTCGTCATCTGTGAGCGGCGGCCCCTTCGCTGCACCTGTCGGTGCTTTATCATTATGTTCCAAGGGTTCTGTGGGGATCAAGACAGCAAAGGTCACCGAGGCCCGTGACCCTGGGGTGGGACGGAGAGTGGCTATGGGTTAAACCTTGGCATTCCCGCTTCCCAGATCTTTGCCACCTCTCCTGCGTTGGGATAACCGGGAAAACAGAGGTTTGAAGGCCTTGCCAGGGAGGAGAAAATGAGGACGTTTCCTGCCTTTTCTGGACTGGCAGGAGGAAGGGAACCAGTGATTAGCAGTGGTCTACTCTGTGGCAGGTGATGTACCGAGAGCTTTACCGGTGTGTATTACCCTATCCCTACAATTTCGTGAGATGGGTGTTAATCATCTCCGTTTTAGAGATAAGAAACCTGGAGTTCAGGGCTGGTCGGGGCAGGCCCACACCACTTAGCCGGGAATTCGACACCAGAATCTGCACCCGGGTCGTCGGACTGCGAAAACCGCAATCCTTGGGCGGCAGCAGCCGCAGCAGCCGCCGCGTTCTTTCGCCCGCGGGCCAGGGTCCCGGGAGCCCCGAGGCCCTGCCCGGCCCGAGCCCAGGTCTCACCGGGGGCGCCCTCACCGTGAGAACCAGCTGCCCGGCTGCGCCCGCATCCCCCAGCTCGAGGCTGCCCCGCTCTGTCCCGCCGGGTCCCCGCGGCTGCTCAGCGTCGCCCGTGGCCCCCATGGCGTCCTCGACCCCACAACTTCAGCTCGACTCTGCCACCGGCCGGAAAGTGGCGCAGTGACGTCATCGGGGCGCGCCTCTCCTCGGCCCGGAAGCGCGACGCGGAGAGCTGCGGCGTTACCATGGGAACCGAACCGCCGCCGCTCGCTTGGGTGTGAGTAGGTGGTTGGGGCTTCCTCCCAGGAGGGCGGCGCCTTGGGGGCGGAGCTGGGGTGTTTGGCATTGCTGCGTACCCGGCTGTTCCCAGCCAGGCTCAAGGCCCCGCGGTAAATTTCTGTATGGGGAGGAGGAGCAGCAGGTTTCCTCGGGCCCTGTGAGGGACCAGAGTATTTTGGATGGGAATGTCAGCAGTTCAGTCATTTGAAAACTGCAGTTTCTAATCCACAGGAGATCCAACAAGGGGAGGTCCGGTCTGTACCATCAAACGGTCTCTCAGGGCTGAGTGTGTGTGAGTGTGTGTGTGTTGGTCCTGGGGTTTGAACTCAGGGCCTGAGCGCTCTCCCTTAGCTTTTTGCTCCAGGTTAGCACCCCACCACTTGAGCCACAGGCTCACTTCGGGCCTTCTTGGCAATTAATCGGGGGAAAAGAGTCTCACGGACTTTCCTGCTCAAGCCCTGGCTCTCCCTGGCTTCCAGTTGTGATCCTCAGATCTAAGCCTCCTAAGTAGCTAGAATTACAGGTGTGAACCACCTATGACCTACCTGCCTCTCAAGGCTCTTGGGTGCTGCCTCTTGTTTCTGAAGACATCAGAATGAAGCTTGGATCTTGGTTGGGGAACTTGCCTTGCTCCTTGGGAGTTGGGGTTACTTACCTAGATGGGTGATTGTGGCTGGGCTAGTGCTGAAGGGTTAACAACTGTGGTGGTCCCCAGAGTTCCCCTTTTCTGTCTTCTCTCAGAGCTAAGATGTCCTTGAATAGAGTTAGATTCATTTATGGGTGATTGAGAGAGTTAGTTACTCCTAGCAGTTCATAATTGATAGTAGCAAGTTCTGCACTTGGAAAGATATGATATGGTGGCTAAGAACAGGTGGTACTGTAGCTCTAGGGAAGGGGATACGGAGGGAGTAGAGAGTTCAAAGTCAGCCTGAGCTACATAAGGAGAAACTGTCTCAAAGCTAAGAACTGGGGGTATAGCTTAGTGCAGGCCACTTGTCCAGCATGCACAAAGGTTGGATCCCAGCATTGCAAAAATAAAAACATGATCTATGGAACTGGGTCACCTGCATTTGTTTTCACTACTTAATAGCTGTGTGCCTTGAGTCAGGTTTCTTAGATTTTCTGTGCCTCAGTTTCCCCAACTATAAATAGAAATCCTGGTTGATAGGATTACAGTGAGTTAACTCATGCTTAAAACCATGGCACAAAAAGAACCTCAAATAATAGTATCTTGCTACTGTAACAGTAACTTCCAGTGGTCGCCACTTATGGGCATTCTTTTTTTTTTTTTGTGGTTCGTACGTTCTGAACTCTGGGCCTGGGCGCTGTCCCTCAGCTCTTCAGCTGTAGGCTACCGCTGTACCACTTGAGCCTCAGCCCCACTTCCGGTTTTCTCTGCTTATGTGGTGCTGAGGAATCGAACCCAGGGCCTCATGCATGCAAGGCAAGCACTCTACCACTGAGCCACCTTCCCAGACCCTCATTTTTTATTTTTTAAATTTAAATTTATTTTAAGTAGTACAAAGAGGTTTCAATTCCACAAGTCAGATTATGAGTACAATGCATTTTGATCAATGTCATCTTTTTTTATTGTTGTTGTTGTTATTAACTTCTTCTTCTTGTTCTTTTTTTTGTCAGTCATGGGGCTTGAACTCTGGGCCTAGGTGCTGTCCCCCAGCTCTTCACCTCAAGGCCAGCGCTCTACCACTTGAGCCACAGCACCACTTCCGGTTTTCTGGTTGTTAACTGGAGATAAGAGTCTCACGGACTTTCCTGCCCAGGCTGTCTTTGAACCTTGATCCTCAGATCTCAGCCTCCTGAGTAGCTATGATTACAGGCATGAGCCACCAGTGCCAAGCTCCTGAGAGACTCTTCAGTTAATCACTCAAAAACCAGAAGTGGAGCTGTGGTTCAATGTGGTAGAGTACTAGCCTTAAGCAAACAAGCTCAGTGCCCAAGCCCTGAGTTCAAGCCCTACAACCAATGGAAAAAAAGATAGAGATTATTATTATTGTTTATTTTTTTTGTCAGTCATGGGGCCTGAACTCTGGGCCTGGGCGCTGTCCCTCAGCTCTTCAGCTCAAGGCTAGCACTTGAGCCACAGTATCACTTCTGGTTTTTTCTGCTTATGTGGTTCTAAGGAATCGAACCCAGGGCCTCACGCATACAAGGCAAGCACTCCCAGGCCCAGATTATTTTTTATGCTTTTTATTGTAAAAAAATATGTATATATTTTTGTCGGTTGTGGGGCCTGAACTTTAGGCCTGGGCGCTGTCCCTCAGTTCTTCAGCTCAAGGCTAGCACTCTACCATTTGAGCCACAGTGCCACTTCCAGTTTTTTCTGCTTACGTGGTGCTGAGGCAAGCATTCTACCACTGAGCCTCCTTCCAAGCCCTATTGTAAAAATATTGTACAGACGGGTTACAGTTACATGAATAAGGTAATGAGTACATTTCCTATCAAGCATTGTTGCCTCCTCCTTTGTTTTCCCCCTACCATCCCTTTCTCCCCCACCAACGTTTTAAAGTTCGTTTTTAACATAGTGTCATGTAAAGATAGAGATTATTGTATGGGTTAGAAGAATGTTTATAAAACATGTATTAGGCAATCAACAAGTATTATCTCCATGCTTCAACATTAGCCTTATGACATTGTGGTCAACTTTCTAGCACCAAACTCTGCTATTTTATGGAGACTTTAGCCTTATGCTTGGAATATACCTGGCTCTATAATCTCAGCAGTCTCAGCGGACACTATTAAATATCATAGCCAACCAAGGACATGAGCAGAAGAGATAAATAAAAAGAGGAAGAATAGATAAAGTGGGACATATATGGATAAGACTATTTGATTTATAGTTCTTGTAATCTAAAAGGGACAGGTGTAGGTTTTTGGTACATTTGTATTGATTCTGAAAAACCCTAACGTGTGTGTGTGTGTGTGTGTGTGTGTGTGTGTGTGTGTGTGTGTGTGTGTGTGTGTTTAATAGTCTCTAAGTGATCCCTCCTGTCTTTTCTAGGTTGCCAGGTTGAGCAGAAGTTGCAATATTGTACTTTGGTTATTTTATTAGCTTATTTTTTTCTTATAAACTTGTATGTCTAGCCCTTCCCACTGTCCTTTTGGCTGTATCTGAATCCTTCCAAAGACCTTTAGCTCTCTCTCTCTTTCTCTCTGATCCTTTGTCCAATGGTTCTCTTAATGTTTCCAGCTTTGCACAAAGTTTCTCATCATTATTCAACAGTGTTGCATATATATTACATTAGAGTTTGACCCCTCCTATCCTTTTGGTAGTGCCAGGAATTTTCCCACACACCAGCAACCAATCACTCTTCTTGACAAGAGAGAAGGCATTATTGGAGACAGTTGCATAAGGGAAGCCTTTAGGACTGGTTTAAGGTAATCTCCAGTCCTGCCTGTTCCTCGAGTGATACTGTGGACAAGGTGTCCAACTCTGGCCTGAACTGAGCCCTCATCTCAACGCTCAGTGTCATCAAGATGTTAACCTGCCTCTTCCTTCTGAAGGCTCTTGCTCTTGGGTCCTTGGCATCCTGGGTAGCTGCAGGAGAGCATGGTAAGCTATCATTTATCCTCTCTGGGTAACAGTAACAGAAAGTTGCTGGTGGGGGGTGACCATCTCTATAAGAGGATTCCAGGAATGGATTCTCAGGGTAACCAGAGACCTAGGCCAGAGGCCCAGGGTCCCAACATGTCAGCGTCATTACTTGCCCCAATATGCTGATTTGAGATAAGTCCTGGAGAAAGTGAGAGAAAGGCGATCTATTAAGGTACAGACTGGCTCTGTGTGGGAAGAAGGGAGGTAAAAATGTCAACCCATCTGACATGAACTTCAGGTTTAAACAGAGGAAGAAGTGGGGCAGAGGGCCAGGAGTACATGTAATTTAACAGTCTTCAGCCAAGTATGGCCTGCTTGAGCATTAGCTTGACTCTGATCCTGTAAAGGGGGTTCCACAGAACTTGCTACTGTTATCACTTGAGGGGAGCAATCTGGTACCTTGCTCCCAAGATTCAGCCTCATTATTGTAAGTAATTGTTCCTATTTTGAGGTGATCTATCCTGCGGGGCTTTGGGGGTAGTTTTGGTCCCGGTCATAAAGATGATATTGATTAGTCCTGGAACTCGAGGTGACAGTAGAAACGGGAGACTCAAAACAAAGGAGACAGATACAAAATGGGGTGGAGTGAGCTCAAGCCTGTCCGTGTGCCAGAGCGGAGCAATGCCTAAATCAAAGGAACTTGTTTCGTCAAACTCTTCTGGCAGTGATTCTGACAGTGAAGTTGAGAAAAAGTTAAAGAGGAAAAAGCAAGTTACTACAGAAAAGCCTATAAAAAAAGCAAAAGACAGGTGAGACTTTGAGAGCTCTGGCATCTTCTAAGCAGAGCAGCAGCAGCAGAGATGATAACATGTTTCCGATTGGGAAAATGAGATATGTAAGTGTTTGGGACTTTAAAGGGAAAGTTCTAATTGATATTAGAGAATATTGGATGGATCAAGAAGGCAAAATGAAGCCAGGAAGAAAAGGTATTTCTTTAAATCAGGAGCAATGGAGGCACCTGAAGGAACAGATTTCTGACACTGATGATGCAGTAAGAAAACTGTAAAATCTGAGCCATATAAAACCTGTACTGTTCTACTTGTTTTAATCTGTCTTTTTACATTGGCTTTTGTTTTCTAAAATGTTTTCCAAGCTATTGTATATTTGGATTGCAGAACAATTTGAAAGATGAATACTTTTTTTTAATGTGCATTATTAAAAATGTTCTGAGTGAAAAAAAAAAAAAAACAGGGAGGGGGCCAGGATACCTCCTCCTTTTAGTTAACTTATGGGTCTGAGTGAGGAGTTAGGGTTTTGGTTTTGATTTTGTTTTTGGTGTTTTTTTGTTTTGTTTTGTTTTTGTTTTTTGTTTTTGTGCTGATACTAGGGATTAACACTCTGGGCTTCTTGCATTTGCTTAGTTTTTTTTTTGTATGTTGTTTGTTTTGTTTTGCTTTTGGCTGGTACTATACCACTTTAGCCTCAACTCCACTTCTGGTTTTTAAGTGGTTAACTGGAGATGAGTTTCACAGACTTTTCTGCCAGGTCTGGCTTTGAACCTCAACCCTCAGCTACTCAACCTCCTAAGTAGTTAGGATTACAGGCATTAGCCATTGGGGCCTGGCTGTTTCAGTGCTTCTTACAGGAGTTTCTTTTCTTTCCTTTTTTGTTCGTCATGGGGCTTGAACTCTGGGCCTGAACGTTGTCCCTCAGCTCTTCAGCTTAAGGCGAGTGCTCTACCACTTGAGCGACTGTGCCACTTCTGCTTTTCTGAGTGGTTTATTGGAGATAGGAGTCGCAAGGGCTTTTCGGCCCAGGTTGGCTTTGAACTGCAATCCTCAGATCTCAGCCTCCTGAGTAGCTAGGATTACAGGTGTGAGCCACCGGCGCCCGGCTACAGAAGTTTCTTTTCTTTTCTTTTTTTTTGGAGTCTGGTTGAAGGCCTGAACTCTGGGCCTGGGTGCTGTCCTTCAGCTCTTCAGCTCAAGGCTAGCACTCTACCACTTGAGCCACAGCACCACTTCTGGCTTTTTTTTTTTCCTGCTTATGTGTTGCTGAGGAATTGAACCCAGGGCCTCATGCATGCAAGGCAAGCACTCTACCACTGAGCCACCTTCCCAGCCCTATAGGAGTTTCTTAAGTCCATGCTGCCAGGGTAATCTTGACTTTAGCCTTCCTCTCTGGCTGAGGAGACATATGTTTCAATAGACTGCTTGTCTAACATGTGTGAACCCTGAGACTCAACCCCAGCTCAGGGAGGAGGAGGGAAGAAGGGAAATAGCTTAGACCAGGTAAAATTTTACCCTTAAACATCATTTCTTAAATCTGTGTGTTGTGTGTGTGTGTGTGTGTGTGTGTGTGTATGTGTCTATGCATGCGTGTGTGTACACCAGTACTGGGGCTTGAACTCAGGGACTGGGCCTTAGCTTTTTGCTCAAGGATGGTGCTCTACCACTTGAGCCACATCTGGCTTTATGCTGGTTAACTGAAAAAAAGATTCTTATGTATTTTTCTGCCCACGCCAGTTTTGAACTGTGATCCTTAGGTCTCAGCCTACTGAGTAGCTCGGATTACAGGTGTGGACACCTGGCACCTGGCCTCAAATAGCTCTTTCCTTTTTTTTAAACAGCTCTTTTAAAATCTTATTTATTTATTTATTTTTGTGTTTGTATTGGGGCTGAAAGTCAGGGTCTGGGTGCTGCCCTTTAGCTATTTTTCCTTAAGGTTTGTTCTCTACCTCTTAAGCTGTACCTCTACTTTCTGTTTTTTGCTGGTTAATTAGAAATAAGAGTCTCATGGGCTTTCCTGCTGTGGCTGGCTTCAAACCTTGATCTTTAGATCTCAGCAAGCCACCAGCACCCAGCTAAATCTTAAATTTAATTTAATTTTTTTAAATGGTGCTGTGAGATGCTTTTCTTCCGCACTCTGACATGATTCACCCAAATTCTTTTTTTTTTTCTCTTATGCTGCAGGGATTGAATCTATCTTCTTATTCTTGATAGACAGCACTCTACCACTGAGCTACATCTAGTTCAAATCCTAAGTTTTTAGCTTAAATTTCCTCTTACATAAAATAAAGATAGGGGCTTGGAAGGTGGCTCAGTGGTAGAGCGCTTGCCTTGCATGCATGAGGCCCTGGGTTCGATTCCTCAGCACCACATAAGCAAAAAGAAAAAAGCCGGAAGTGGCGCTGTGGCTCAAGTGGGAGAGTGCTAGCCTTGAGCTGAAGAGCTAAGGGACAGTGCCCAGGTCCAGAGTTCAGGCCCCACGACCGGACCCCAAAAAAAAAAAAAAGATAATTGTGAGGATCGAGTTGAGATGTTCTTACAAAAAGATAAACATTGTAAATGTAATGACAAATGTTGACTATTACTGTTACCATGGCTTCGACTTTAGCCCTAGGGTTGGAGGCTAAGTGTATCTAGGGCTTGCTTCTCTGATTCTCTCTTGTCTGTCTGTGGGTTCTCTGGCACCTGGTACTGCTATCTCCTTTCTGTTGCTGTCTTTGTTTTTGTAATAGGGAAGAAAGGAGAGTGTCCTAAGGTCATTCGAAAACCACCCTGTTCTAAAGCGTGTACCACTGATGAGACATGCCCAGGTAGAAAAAAATGCTGCACTTTTGGTTGCAATAAGAGATGTGTAATGCCAGTCTTCAAACAGAAACCAGGTAAGAAATCTCATCCCTGCACTCCGTAGTCTAACTTGCTTGTATATTTGAGAAAGAAAGAAGCTATTTTGTGCCAGGTCAGCAAACCATGCTCTGTTGGTTGGCTTTACTTTATTTTTATTTATTTATTTATTTTTTTGGGTCCGGTCGTGGGGCCTGAACTCTGGGCCTGGGTGCTGTCCCTCAGCTCGTCAGCTCAAGGCTAGTGCTCTACCACTTGAGCCATAGCGCCACTTCTGGCTTTTTTCTTTTTTTGCTTATGTGATGCTGAGGAATTGAACCCAGGGCCTCAGGCATGCAAGGTAAGCATTCTACCACTGAGCTACCTTCCCAGCCCGGCTTTACCTTATTTTGAGAAACAATAATTCAGTGCCTGCTATCTTCTGAGAAAAAAAATATACAAGTTGACTATAGTAGCTCAGGCCTGTAATCCTAGTGACATGGAAGACTATTAGGAGAAACACAATTCAAAGCTAGCCTGGGCATAAGTTTGCAGGACCCTATCTCAACCAATAAAAAGCTAGGCACAGTTGTATGTGCCTGACATTCCAGCTATGACAGGATATGTAAATAGGTGGATTATGGTTCAGGCCTGCCCAGGAAGGAAGTGAGACACTATTTAAAGGAGCTGGGCACTGGTGGCTCAGGAGGCTGAGATCTGAGATCTGAGGATTACAGTTCAAAGCCAGTTCAGGCAGGAAAGATTGAGAGACTCCTAGCTTCAATTAACTTCCTAAAAACCAGAAGTGGAGCTGTGGCTCCAATGGGAGAGTGGATAACCTTGAGTACAAAGAGGCTGAGGGACAGAGTCCAGGCCCTGAGGTCAAGCCCCAGGACAGGCAAAAAGGAAGGCAATAAGGGATGGGGTAGGGTTTAAGTGGTAAAGTTGCCTGCCTAGCAAACACAAGGTATTTAGTTCAAACTCCAGAACTGGAAGAAGAAGGAGGAGGGGGAGGGGGAGGGGGAGGGGGAGGGGGAAAGGGAGGGAGACCAGAGGAGGGGGAAGAAAAGGAGGAGGAAGAGGAAGAAGAGGAGGAGGAGGAAGAAGAGAAGGGGGAATGAAGAGGAAGGAAGAGGAGGGGGAGGAGGAGGAGAAAGAAGACGACAACATGGAAAGAATACATCAGATTAGGTTGATTTGTGGCATGTAATAGAAGAGAATGTCAGCAGGTTTGAAAGTTAGTGGGCTGTTCCCAATCCTCACTGTCAGTTGCAATACCTCCATTAAAGTCATAGCACAAGAATATGCAAGGAGATGTGAAAATAGAATCATCCCCATTCACCAGCTTCTGCGATTCCGGAGCTTCTATATATACCCAAGATGGCCACTTGTGTGGTGGAAATGGACTTGGGTAGAGAGGCATTTAAAGACATTACTTCTTTTTTTCTCTCAGAGTCCTCATGACCATATAAAAGTTTTATTTTTTCACCAAGTATGTACTGGGTTCTTACTCTTTGCCAGATGCAGTTATGAGCTATGGGAACGCTGTGGTGACACAGTAGTTCCTGTCCCTGCTTTTGTGATCTCGTTGTCTAGAGGGAGAAATAACTTTTGTGTGTGTGCCAGTACTGGGGTGAACTCAGGGCCTCATGCTTTCACTTGGCTTTTTTGCTCAAGGCTATTGCTCTACCCGTTGAGCCATACCTGTACTTTCAGCTTTTTGGTAGGCCTGGACCACAATCCACCTATTTATGTATCCTGTCATAGCTGGAATGTCAAGCACATACAACTGTGCCTAGCTTTTTATTGGTTGAGATGGGGTCCTGCAAACTTATGCCCAGGCTAGCTTTGAATTGTGTTTCTCTTAATAGTCTTTCAAGTCACTAGGATAACAGACCTGAGCTACCATAGTCAACTTGTGTATTTTTTCTCTTCAGAGATAGCAGGCACTTAATTATTGTTCCCAAAATAAAGGAAAGCCAACCAACAACCAACTGGAGATGAGTGTCAAGGACTTTCCTGTGTGGGCTGGCTTTGGACCATGATCCTCAGCTCTCAGGCCTCCTAAGTAGCCAGGATGACAGGTGTGAGCCATCAGTGCTCAGCTTCCGTTCTGTTTTCTGAAGCCACTGTAGCTGTCCTGTCATCTCAGTGTATGTGGCTGTATGCCAGAGTGGAGAAGCATGGGTCTGAGATGTGGGTTCCAGCCTGAGATTCCAGAAGGTTCCTGGGTATGGCTCTCTGGCTCCATCCTGTGAGGTGGAAAGAGTCACCCCAGAAAGTATCAATATACATTAGCTTATTCCCTCTTTCTAAGAAGGAGGCATTGGGAGTATAATTTTGTTCTTTTCTCTTTTACTTGAGAGCAGGACTGGCTGATAATCTAAGCTGGTCTTGAACTCCTGATCTTCCTTTCTTGATGTCCAGAGTGCTGGGATTATGACAACTGGCTCAATCCTTTAAATTCAGAACCAGAATTCTTTTTTTTTTTGTCGGTTGTGGGCCTTGAACTCTGGGCCTGAGCACTGTCCCTCAGCTCTTCAGCTCAAGGCAAGCGCTCTACCACTTGAGCTACCGCACCACTTCTGGTTTTCTGATTGTTTATTGGAGATAAGAGTTTCATGGACTTTCCTGCCCAGGCTGTCTTTGAACTGCGATCCTCAGATCTCAGCCTCCTGAGTAGTTAGGATTACAGGCATGAGCCACTGGCACCCGGCTAAGAACCAGAATTCTTTTCTCCTCACTGATCATCTAATTTCTGAAACTCCACAGCCCACAACAACCTCTTTTCTTCCAGACAGGCCTCCACAGATGGCATGTGTCTTCCCAGTACCCACAGGGGCTTGGCTGTGCCAGACTGGGGCAGCCTGTACTCAGAGAGAATAGCAGGTTGTACTTCTGCAGGACTCTTGAGGCAGGATTCTGGAACCAAAGCCTGAGAATCTGTTTCAGGCAGTCACTCAGCGTGTTTTTGTGCCTAGTACAATCTTCCCATTGTTTGAAGAGGATGGCTGAACTGTGGAGGCTGAGGGTGAGGTTGGCACCAGGCACAGAATCTTTGTGAGCTGCTCTGGCTCCTGGCCAGCCCAGATGGAACTTTCCCTGGGAGCTGGGTTAGGCAGCATGGAGGGTTAGTGATGTCCTGTAAATCTCTTGGAGCCCACTGGCAGAACAGAATCCCTATCCTAGTGAGAGATGAGACTGGCAATAGTAGCACTTAGTAGTTAACTACTGCTACAGTTTCTATAGCTCCAGTCCTAAGAAAGGGCTGGCCACTCACTCAATGGGACTGATTGCTAGGAATCTCTTCTTCCTGGGCTATGAACACTTACTATTCTCTGTAACCTTTGACATTGCCAGAGGTTTGCCATAGTCAATGCTTACACTGGGATCTGGCTCAGGAGGAAGCTCTGGTCTGAATGGTGGTCTGAGTCCTGGCTTTTCTGCTTGTTGGCTGTGTGGTCTCTGAACCTACTTGGGTGGCAGGTAGACAGTTGGGAGGGACTTTTTGCCCCCTCCTCCCATTTGTCATTCATAAGGCGCGTGCGCGCGCCTGCGCACGCACGCATGCGTGTGCAGGCGCGCGCGCACACACACACACAGTGCTCTTTGTCAAATGTATATCAGTATTTTTCAAGCAGATGAAGCGGTACAGGGGATACCACTGCAAGTGGTTGCAGTGACTACATTTTCCAAATAAGAATTCAGGACACATGGTTTGGCTGTGATCTCACAATGACAGAATATTGAAGACATGCCAGCACAGGAAAACCCCGGATGCCAGGTTATTTCTGTCCAGCTGCACGTGTCTCATTAGAGTCTTGAACACTTGAATTTTCCATCATGGTAGACTTCCTGGAGCCAGTCATAGGGCCTCATTCTTAGATTGTTCCTCAGAGGCACTAGACCAGTTCTGTGTTTTGTTTTCTACCAAAGTTTTAATTGCCTATCACCTCTTGAAATCAACACTGAGACAGTGAGTGACTCAAGGTGGGAGGTGGTTTGAGTGTGCTGTCTGTGAGTGTGCCTGCTCCTGAGTTGTGTTCTAAGGATGGTATAGTAGAAAGTGCTTCATTGTAGATCAGGAGGCGTTTTGCCCTGCCTTGCCATTGACTCACTCTAGTTCTGGGACAGTTCTGCTTTCCTCTGGGTTTCTTTATCTTCTTGGGGATGGTGAGCAGGCACATCTGGAATGTGTTTGGCTGTGTGAAGAAATTAATCAATGAAGGTTTCATTGTTCTCACATAACAAGAAACCCTGAAGTTGGAATCAGGGCTGTCGTGGCAGCTCTAGGATTGTTAGATTATTTGGACTTTGCCAGAAAACCATGCAGACATCCAGGTACAGAGAACAAAGGAAAGGTTTCTTACCGGGAAAGGGGCCGGCAAGACCCCTTCTCACAAGAGAGAAGTAAGAAGAAGCACCTGCTATTGTCTAGTTGACCTGTATGACCTAGGAGGTTTAGGAGCGGCTAGAAGGGGCTAGGAGGTGGAGACCACGGTGGACCTGAGGGCCAGGAGTTCTGCCATGGTAGACTAGGATTTATGGCTGCTGTCCAAATAGTCGATAAGGGGCCATAGCTGCCCAGACCTGAAGGTCACTCTAAGGGGCTCCTGTTGCCTTATATGGTGTTAGCTGCCCCAGAGAAGTGCCATCCCAAGGTAGAGGGGGTTGGAAGTTGATTATTTACTGCCTTTACTACACGGGCCTGGTGCTGCCTAGGAAGGGAGCATGCTAAGCTGTGGAGAAGGGAAGGAGTGGACTAAGCTATGGGAAGGGAACTCATTTTGCGAACAATGATGCTAACAAAGATGAAGCCCTTTCTTGGGGGGGGGGGTCTGGTCATGGGGCCTGAACTCTAGGCCTGGGCGCTGTCCCTCAGCTCTTCAGCTCAAGGTTAGTGCTCTACCACTTGAGCCACAGCGCCACTTCCGGCGTTTTTTTTTTTTTTTAATTTTTGCTTATGTGGTGCTGGGGAATCGAACTCAGTGCCTCATGCATGCAAGGCAAGCGCTCTACCAATGAGCCACCTTCCCAGCCCTATGAAACCCTTTCTTTTGCCTTACTCATTCTTTTGTCCTCATACTGAGTGACTCCTGGCTCAATGAAGGCTGCTCTTTCTTTCCCTTCCTCCCTCCCTCCCTCTCTCTCTTTCTTCCTTCTTTCCTTCCTTCCTTCCTTCCTTCCTTCCTTCCTTCCTTCCTTCCTTCCTTCCTTCTTTTTTTTTTTTATTGGTTGTAGGGCCTGGGCACTGTTTCTGAGCTGCTTTTGCTCAAAGCTAGCATTCTACCACTTTGAGCTATAGCACCACTTCTGAATTTTTCTGTGTATGTGATACTGAGGAATTGAACCCAAGGCTTCATGCATGCTAGGCAAGCACTCTACCACTGAGCCACATTCCCAGCTGTGCCCTGCTGTTCTGCCTTTCCATAGTAAGTCCACCTTTGTACTAGAAGAAGGAAGAGGGAGGGGAATGCAAAAATCTCCCCAGTTTATGTCTTGGTCCTTGGTTGCCCCTGGTTGTAAGGAATTATGAGGAAGTGAATCCCCATTTTAGCTGGAATCATTGTCTCTCAGAACAAACCTGGGGTTCTGTTCATAACGGTTCCATGTACCTACCTATTGCTACATAAGAAAGCATCCCCAAATTTTGTGGCTTAAGACAACGGTTTTCTCTTGCAGTTGTGTGGGTTGCCTAGGCTCAGCGGGCCAGATCATGTACTACATGGTATAGCTAGTCACTCATCTGCCTGGACTGGGAGCTCCAGTGGGGCTTGAGTGGCGTTGGAATACCCAGATGAGCCTCAGCAACCCACACAGCCACAAGGAAGATGGAGAATCATCTATACAGTCCAGCTGAAGCTGCTTTGTGGCATCTTCATGGTGGCCGGTGGCCCCTGGGTTAGACAGTATGAAAGAGGACTTCACCAGGGCATGAAGCCCAGGAGAATGCTAGTCACAGGAAGAGAGAATAAATGTGGCGTTGGCATTAAGGTGGTTGCTCTAGTGGGATAGAGCTGAAACTGAAACTGTTCCTCTGTGTGTGTGTGTGTGTGTGTGTGTGTGTGTGTGTGTGTGTGTGTGTGTGTACTGGTACTTGAGCATGAACTCAGGGTCTGGGCACTGTCCCTAGGCTGTTTATACCCAATTGTGGTACTCTACCGCATGAGTCATGGGCTCCGTCTCTGTGTTTTTACTGGTTAATTGGAGATAAGAGTTTCATGGACTAGGAGTGCAGGTGTGAACCACCAGCACCTAGCTCTGAAATGTGAGGACGGAAATAAGTTAGTAGTTCATGGCCAGCATTAAAATAGAAAAGTCAGGTGCCGGAGGCTCATACCTATAATCCTAGCTACTTTGGAGGCTGAGATCTGAGGATTGTGGTTTGAAGCTGTGAGTGGCAGGAAAGCCTATGAGACTCTTCTCTCCACTTAAACATAAAAAGCCAGAAGTGGAGCTATGGCTCAAGTAGTAAAGTGGTAGCCTTTATCAAAAGAGCTCAGAGATGGTGCCCAGACCCTCAGTTCAAGCCCTAGAACTCACACACACACACACACACACACACACACACACACACACACGCACACACACACACACACACACACACGACACACACGACACACACATGAAGACAAAAAAGAATAGAAAATATCAGAGTACATTGCTTATACTTTGAACTTGAAAGCTAAACATCTGCGTACATATCAGATGCGAAAAATATACTTCACTTTGCGGATTTGCACTTCTTATTTTGACTCTGTGGCAGAGGTTGGTGGCGGATGTCCTGCGGACCCCCTTCCATGTCAGGAGCTGTGTGACAGAGATGAGTCCTGCCCCCCGGGGCACAAGTGCTGCAGCACTGGCTGTGGTCAGGCATGCCGTGGGGACATTAAAGGAGGTAGGTTGGCTTCCACTGAGTGTCTAGCACGCTTGTTCCATTGCAAGCCAAGGAACATCCTGTAAGGTTTGATGGGAGGAGATGCATGCAGGGTGTCACGGAGCACAGAGCAGGGTGCAAGACCACCTGTAGGGCGGCGGATGTACGAATGACACTCAGTCTAAGCCGAGGAGAGGGGAAGGACCTGGCCCCCTCTCTCAACCTAGCTCTACCCCTGAGCCTGGAGCGCTAGCAGTCTTGGAAGCGCCTTTAGGGAGTTCCCTTTGGGACACCCTTTGAAAACTCTTGGTTCGGGGGTTTGGGGATGTCCATAGGTTGGTGAGGATTGTGTTAGGAGTCAGAGATCGACTCACCTGGAACTCCTGGGTCTACATTCTCCACAGGATCCCCGGGACATGCGGCCAATGTCCTGTCTGCTTACCCAGGCCTGTTCTCCCCACAGGGCGAGATGGCGCTTGTCCGAACATTCTGGTAGGCCTGTGTATTGTTGGCTGCTTCATGGATGAACACTGCCAACCTGGGGAAAAGTGCTGCAAATCAGGCTGCGGCCGCTTCTGTGTCCCGCTGGCCCTGCCATCCAATGGGACTGTAGACTCCAATGGGACCATCAGCTCTGATTTGGAACGCGGTGGGTATAGATCATTGTCATCACCAACCAGATCTAGAGTTGGCCAGTCTCAGGGCTGGCTTAGGTATGGAGAAGGGGATGTTGAAGGTCAAGGAGAGTCTAGTATAGGGCAAAGATCCTATGAGGAAATCAGAACCATCAGTAGACACTATGGACTTGGAGGTGTTTAAAGAGGGTGTGACTTGCGGGTGAGCTAGACTAATTGTAATCCTGGGATAGCACCAAGAACCTGCAGGACAGGTCATGTGATTGTTAACAAAGGCCCAGAAGACAGGAATGTAAGTGACATGCTTGGACAGGGAGGGATGGAGGCAGGGCATGGAAGGGGGCAGCCGCACTTGTGTTTTTATATCAGGAGAGGGAAGGGTGACTTCTAGGTGACAAGGATTTTCAATGCCAGTTTCAATGCCAGGTAGTTTAGGAAGCTGGCAGCCATTCAAGTCTTTTTTTTTTTTTTTTTTTTTTTGTGGGTCATGGAGCTTGAACTCTGGGCCTCAGCTCTTCAGCTGAGCCATCATCTTGAGCCATAGCGCCACTTCCAGTTTTCTGGTGGTTTATTGGAGATAAGAGTCTTACAATCTTTCCAGGCTGGCTTTGAACTGCGATCCTCACATCTCAGCATCTTGAGTAGCTAAGATTACAGGTGTGAGCCACCGACACCCAGCCCATTCAAGTCTTTTGACAGAGATGCATACCAGGGCTTTCCAGGGTGGAGGGGAAGGCTGTGGGAGGGATGGAGCCAGGAGGACATGGTTGTAACATGAGGTTTCTTCTACTTGCAGAGGCCCGGGAAACCTAGTGGTCCTGACTTGTCTGGATCTTCTGTAGAGACCCCAGAAGTCCTGTGCTGGCAGCCAGGAGAGGGTGGTGTCCCAGGGCTTGTGACACTCCCAGGGGGCACTCATGGCCTTCTTGGCCCTGTTTCCCTTCCTGCTGTTGCCTGGAGCACAGAAAGTGGCCCTGGTACTTACAGCGGGTGCTGATGCTTCTCTTTCCCAATAAAGACTGATGTGGACTCTCTGTTCTGTGAGGTCTGGGGGCACGGGTGAGGTGGGAGCTAGTGGGTCTGCGTAGGCTGTGGGATTGACACAGACTGAGCGAGGATGGGTGATCCATTTTTTCTGAGCCCACTGAAAGCAGGGTATGGTCATGAGGAGAGATGGATCGAAGTTAGCCCTAGGGTCATTGGCCACAGATCTTCCTGAAAACTCCAGGGGTACCGGGAGAGCTCCTTCCTTTTGGGCTTGATAACTTTCTTTTGTTGGAGAATATGAGTTGGAGGTGGCACAGGGTGAGTGGCAATGCTTGTACCTTGAAACGTCCCTGAGGGCCAGCCCTTGGTTCTAGGACAGGAGGTTTTCCGAGGAGGCGCTAGCCCTTGGTTCTTCTTTTATATACACAAGTAAGTCTCATGCTAGATCTTGGAGATCTTTTGTGTCATCTGTGTGTGTGTGTCTTTGCCAGTCCTGGGGCTTGAACTCAGGCCCTGGGCACTGTCTCTGATCTTCTTTTGCTCAAGGCTAGCACTCTACCACTTGAGCCACGGAACCACTTCCAGCCCTTTCTGTTTATGTGTACTGAGGAATCGAACCTGGAGCTTCACGCACGCTAGGCAAGCACTCCAATCACTAAGCCACATTCCCAGTCCCACATGTTTTTTTTTTAATTTTTGAAAATTTTCTGGACTGTTTCCCCCTCTCCCCCCGTTTGTGGGGCTTGAACTCTGGGCCTGGGTGCTGGCCTTCAGCATTTCAGCTCAAGGCAAGTGCTCTACACTTGAGCTACAGTGCCACTTCCAGTTTTCTGGTGGTTAATTGGAGATTAAGAGTCTCACAGACTTTCCTGCCCAGGCTGGCTTTGAACTGAAATCCTCAGATCTCAGCCTCCTGAGTAGCTAGGATGACAGGTGTGAGCCACTGTTGCCTGTCCTGGTCTGGTTTTATACTGTGATCTTCAGATCTCAGCTACCTGAGTAGCTGAGTTTACAGGTATGAGCCACTGGCACCGGAAAACAGAATTCTTAGTTTTTATTTTTGTACCAGTCACAGTGCTTGAGCTCAGAGCCTAGGCTTTGACCCGAGCTTCTTTTTCTCAAGGCTAGTGCTCTACTACTTGATGCACAGTGCCACTTCTGGCTTTTTTTTGGTACGTTAGTGGAGATAGTAAGAGTCTCATGGCTGAGCTGGAAAGGTGGCTCAGTGGTAGAGTGCTTGCGTTGCATGCATGAGACCCTGGGTTTGATTCCTCAACACCACATAAGCAGAAAAATCTAGAAGTGGCGCCGTGGCTTAAGTGGTAGAGCACTAGCCTTGAGCTGAAGAGCTGAGGGACAGTGCCCAGGCCCAGAGTTCAGGCCCCACAACCGGCAAAAAAGTCTCAAGGCCTTCCTGTACAGGCTGGCTTCAAACCACAATCCTCAAATCTCAGCCTTCTGAGTAGCTAGAATTTTTATGTGATACAGCCTTAACATATGTATATACCCAGAAGAATCAAAGTTGGTTTATTTGAAAGGTACTTGTATACAGAAGTTTATCACAGCACTGCTCACAATAACCAAGTTATAGAATCAGCCTAGATGTCCACCAACAGATAAGTGGATAAACAAAGTGGTACATATACACACAGAATTTTGCTCAGCCACGAATGAAATTGTTACATACTGGGATGCAAGTGGCTCTTATTCTCAGAGCCACCAGAGGGCAGCAGAGGTCCAACTTGTAGACCAATACAGTAAATACAATTAAATGCTTGAAGCCTGTAAGTCATTGACCAGTGAATAAAATTAAATACTTCCTCCTCCTCCTCCTCCTCCTCCTCCTCCTCCTCCTCCTCCTCCTCCTCCTCCTCCTCCTCCTCCTCCTCCTCCTCCTCCTCCTCCTCCTCCTTCTCCTCCTCTCCTCCTCCTCCTCCTCCTCTCCTCCTCCTCCTCCTCCTCTCCTGCTCCTCCTCTTCCTCCTCTCCTCCTCCTCCTCCTCCTCTTCCTCCTCTTCCTCCTCCTCCTTTTTTTGCCAGTTGTGGGGCCTGAACTCGGCCTGGGCGCTGTCCCTAAGCTCTTCAGCTCAAGGCTAGTGCTCTACCACTTGAGCCACAGCACCACTTCCAGCTTTTTCTGCTTATGTGGTGCTGAGGAATTGAACCCAGGGCCTCATGCATGGGGTCAAGCACTCTACCACTGAGCCACCTTCCCAGAACCTAAAATTAAATTCTTGGAGCCTAGTTAAACATGTATTGTTGGAATTTCCCTACTGAATTACATTTAATAAACTAAGAATCATGTCCTCTCTTTCCACATGGCATGTGTCTGGTTTTGGTAATATCTATCTTGGGGACATTATTCTTCAGGTTGTAGCTGTGTTTATTATACAGACTGCATGGTCAGAAAGAACTTGTGGAACTCAAGAGCATGAACATGTTCCATGAACTAAGGTGAGAAGGGAAAATCGGGGAAGATAAGAAGCACCTGTCTTGCTCTCTCTGTAGTAGGTGCTCTCTAGATCTGATGGTTTTATCTTTGTATTGGTAACTAAGCCAAGAACACAGATTCTGGAGCTTAATTTTTATGTTTATCCTTTCTTTACCTTTCCTTTATTCCTCTTTTGCTTTATTTATTCATTTATTTATTTCAGAGCTGTTTATATGTTTTAAATCATGAAGATTTTTTTCTTTCTTCCTTCACCATTTTTTTTTTTTGGGGGGGTCCGGTCATGGGCCTGAACTCTGGGCCTGGGCGCTGTCCCTTAGCTCTTCAGCTCAAGGCTAGCGCTCTACCACTTGAGCCACAGCGCTGCTTCCGGCTTTTTTCCCCCCTGCTTATGTGGTGCTGAGGAATTGAACCCAGGGCCTCATGCATGCAAGGCAAGCACTCTACCACTGAGCCATCTTCCCAGCCCACCTTCCTTCACCATTTTAACTTTTCATTTTTTATGTTTTTTACCCCACACTCATGGAGCTTGAACTCAGGGCTTGAGCACTGTCCCTGAACTTCTTTTTGCTCAAGGCTAGCACTCTGTCACTTGAGCCATAGATCCAATTCTGGCTTTTTCTGTTTACGTGGTACTGAGGAATTGAACCCAGGGCTTCATGCATGCTACTAGGCAAGCACTCTGCCACTAAGCACATTGCCAGCCTCCAGTTTAATTTTTTGAAAAAGAATGTGTAGCCATTGCTAAGGCATTCAAACAATACAGAAAAGTTCAAAGATCTTTCCAGCAACGGGTAAAAATTGTTAACAGACCAATGAGCATCTTTTCAGAATTTCTTCAGTCCATTTTTCATTACTATAAGAAAAAAACCAAAGGCAGGCTACTTTATAAAGAAAAGTGAAGCCAGGCACTGGCAGCTCAAGCCTATAATCCTAGCTACTTAAGAGGCTGAGATCTGAGGATTGCTGTTCAAAGCCATTCTGAACAGGAATGTCTGAGACTATCATCTCCAATTAACCACCAGAAAACTGGAAGTGGTGCTGTGGCTCAAGTGGTAGAGAGTGCTAGCCTTGAGCTGAAGAGCTGAGGGATAGTGCCCAGGCTCAGAGTTCAAGCCCCTCGACAAACCAAAAGTAGTAGTAGTAGTAGAAGAAGAAGAAGAAGCAGAAGAAGCAGAAAAAGCAGAAGCAGCATCAGCATCAGCAGCAATTTGTTTTGGCAAATGATTCTGAGGGTCAAAGGGCCACATTTGATGATGGCCATCTTCCTAGCAGAGACCTGAGGTGTCACATAACAAGAGACAGAGAACATACATGTGTCTGTGTGTCTATACGGAATCTCTCTTGTCTTAAAAAGGCACGGGGATTCATTCCACCCTAATGACTTTATGTAATCCTCTTTACCTCCCAGTGGTCCACTTCTAACAATAGTCAGATTAAGTTTTATTCTATTAATACTTCATAATGGGGATTCAGTGTCAACACATTGAGCCTTGAGACTCGTGCAAACTGTGTTTAACTGGTGATAGGGGATACCCTACCATGCAGATGTTGGTATGGGTAGAAATCCCCAGAGGCATTCTGTTGCTACTATTCTGCAATAGACTTTTGCTTGTCATTCAACAATACAGTATGGACAGTTTTTTTTTTCTTCTTTAGTTGTAAAGGGATTCTATTTCCTTAAATACTCATTCGTATGTTTTTAAAGTTTAATTAGGCTCTGGAACTCTGTAATAGTTGTTTGTCCTGTTCTCTGTGATCTTGGCCAAGTGCTTCAAAAGTCTTTTAATCTGTGTCAGAGAACAAGACCTCCATTCTTTCTGCAGTCCTTCTTTTTTGGGGGGGGCAGGCAGGTACTGGGGATCAAACCCACGACTTTGTACTTGCTAGGCAAGTGCTTTGTCACTAAGCTATCCCCCAGCCCCCTGCAGTCCCTTCTTGTCTTGCAGCTGGATTGCTATAGCTATTTCTTGAAATGTAATGTTTTGATCACTATTAGATTCTTCTGCTTGGCTTTTTTTGGTTGGTTTGATTTTTGCTTATGGCAGGAAGGGGCTGCTAGTGCTCTATACCAGTTCCTGGGGGTGGGTAGGTGGACAGGCCTGTTCCAGGCCTGTGGGCGGCAAAAACTGGGAGTGGGTAGCTTCTGTGCACCACCAGACGTCAGGCTACACTCTGGTGAGGATGCGTTCTCTTGTGGGGTCACAACTCCTTGTCTCAGGTGATTGTGGCTGGGTGTTCTGTGGACAGTGTGGTGGACAGTGGACAGTGTTCTGTGCATAGTGAGGCCTGAGGGGCCTCACCTGGACAGGGAATCTGGATTGTCTTGTGCTATCTTGCCTGTGGTTGGGGGACCCAGGTTTAGCCTTGCTTGGCTGCTGGGCTGCTTGGCTCCTGGCTATGGGCAGTGATATTGCTGATGACTCCCAGCCTTCCGGGGCTCACAGTACACATTGGCCCCACTGTGCTGCCCTGAGAGGGAATGTCTCCCTTTATTTCTTTTATAGATTACCAGTTTGCCATGTCTTGATTTTCCTTGGAGCTACATACTGAGGTTTTAGTCCAGGTATGTAGAGTTAGTGCAGCAGGTTTTTGTTTTTTTTTTCCCCCCACTCTCTGGCAAATAGCAGGTTTCTTGGGCTGAGTTTGAGACCAGAGTATTTTGGAGGGGAGTGCTTGCAGTTCAGTCTTTGAAAACTGCAGCTTCTAATAAGCAGGAAGTCTAACAAAGGGGGAGCTGGTCTGTATCACCCCAACACACATCAAATCTCCATGGCTCAGTGTGTGTGTGTGTGTGTGTGTGTGTGTGTGTGTGTGTGTGTGTGGTCCTGGGTTTGAATTCAAACCTAGGTATTCTCCTTTAGCTTTTTGCTCAAGGCTAGTGTAAGGCTTTAGCCACAATTCTACTTTTGGCTTTTTGGTGGTAATTTGGAGATAAGAGTTTCCTGGCTGGGCACGGGTATGTTAGAGTGCTAGCCTTGAGCTGAAGAGCTGAGGGACAGCTCCCAGGCCCAGAGTTCAAGCCCCATGACCAACAACAACAACAAAAGAGTATCTTGGTCTTTCCTGTCCAGACAAGTTTTAAACCATGATCCTCAGATCTAGGATCGAAGTAGCTAGGATTACAGGCATGAGCCACCAGTGTCTAGTGATGACTGAATTTTTTTTTTTTTTTTTTTGGGTCCGGTCGTGGGGCCTGAACTCTGGGCTTGGGTGCTGTCCCTCAGCTCTTCAGCTCAAGGCTAGCGCTCTACCACTTGAGCCACAGCACCACTTCCGGCTTTTTTTCTTTTTGCTTATGTGGCGCTGGGGAATCGAACCCAGGGCCTCAGGCATGCAAGGCAAGCGCTCTACCACTGAGCCACCTTCCCAGCCATGATGACTGAATTTTGAACAGACTGACCTGTGTGTATGAAGGAGGGCAGCCTCATTCAGGTAAACTTGAACCACATTAGGTCAGTTTCTGGAGCTTGTAGATTTTTCTGGATAGTCCCTCCTGTGGCAGGTCAGGGGTCATGAGGAAATTAGTATCACAGAAGAGAGGAATGAGTATTGATTGGTGGTAATTTTATCATTGGAAAAAAAAAATCTTACAGACTTCTACCAGGGCTGTCTTTGAGCCTCTATCCTCAGATCTCAGCTTCCTGAGTATCTAGGATTACAGGTGTAAAGCACCAGCACCTGGCTGTTTATCATTTTTGTAACCCCAATAAAGTAAGAAAATAGACCCCCCCCAATCTTCTAAAGAAAGAAGAAACTTCTGGAATCTGGAAAGAGTGATGTCATTATGTGAGTTGCTGGCAGCTTCTAATCTTGGTCCAGTCTTTGCAGTGACTAAGTTCTTCCACCTGTGACCCTCCAAGGCATGATGTTTCTTTGCTTTTCACCCCAGGAGTTAGCTGCTCAGACAGGTACAGTGAGCTATCCAAGGTCCCACGGAGCATGAAGGTCTTAATTTGCCTCCAGGGCAGGTCACCCTGGAGGCCGGAAGACATTGTTCCTTGGCAGAGCCTTCCCTCTGCTCCCCTCGGGCCATGGCTCTGCTTCCCTTCCCGGTTCTGTTCTGTGTTCCACCACTCCCTTAGACTGTGCCCTTCCCAGGGAATGCAAAATCAGAAGCTGGAAGGAAATAAGGGAGGATGAGGAAAGTGAATCTAACCTTGTGTGGACATGGGTTGTTCCTGGAGAAGCTGGAAGGGGAAAAGGAGCATCTCCAGGAGACCTCACACCAAGAGAGCCAGGCGAACCCCATACTTACAGCAGGCTTGGGTGGAACATGCCTCAGTGGTCAGACATAATGCCTCCCGGATCTCTCTTGCTTGATCCTGTAGAAGAAAAGTATTTTCAAATGTTAGCGAGAACAATTTTATTCTTGGAGATACAATGGTTACTTTATGTTCCTTCCACCATTGAAAGTAGACTATGAGGCTGGAACCTCTGGCAGCCTGGAAGGCAGAGCCTCAAGAGGACTGACAACTGAGGGTCATCTTCCTTTACCTCTTCTTTCCAATGCAGTGCTTGTATAACCACTAAAATTTACTGATCAATTACTATGGGACAAACAATAAAGCTTCTATGGTCTGCTCATTTCAACCTCACTATTACTGTTTCCCTCTTGATGAGGAAGCTGGTACCCAGAGAGGTTAATTTGTATGAGGTCACTCAGCTAAGAAATGGTAGAATCAGAGGGCTGGGCATGGTGGTATACACCTGTAATCCCAGTTGCTCAAGAGGCAGAGATTAGTAGGGTTTAGTGAGACTCCATTTCAACAAATAAGGCAGACATGGTAGCACGGTGTCTGCAATCCAAGCTAACCCATCGGCATAGGCAGGAGGATTACAGTCCAAGGCCAGCCTTGGACAAGAAACTGAAGAACCTACTGGAAAGTTAAAGCAAACAAACAAACAAACAAACTTGGGACAAGGCTCAAGTGGTAGAGTTGCTGCCTCATAAGCATGAGGCCCTGAGTCAAACACAAAACTAAAACAACAAACTAGAAGAGCCAAGATTTGAGTCTGGGAAGTTAGCATTAGACCCACACTCATCACTCTACATTTTTCTTTTTCTTCTTTCTTTTTTTTTGTCTGTCATGGGGCTTGAACTCTGGGCCTGGGCTCTGTCCCTGAGCTCTTCAGCTCAAGGCAAGTGCTCTACCACTTGAGCCACAGTGCCACTTCTGGTTTTCTGAGTAGTTTATTGGAAATAAGAGTCTCATGCACATTCCTGCCTGGACTGGTTTTGAACCGAGATCCTCAGATCTCAGTCTTCTGAGTAGCTAGGATTACAGGCATGAGCCACTTGTGCCCAGTTCTCTACATTTTTCTTACATGTAGGGTACTCTGTTGCTCAGGGCAAGGACTACAAGAGAGAACAAGACAGTTAAAACTCTCAAGAAGCTCTTTGGAGGAATCTCCAGCTGTGGGTTTTCTGACAATTTGTCTGGGCTTCAAAAGGCAAGAACAAACCATTCCCATTTTAATTCATCAGAAAGAGAAAGGCAAAAGAGAGGAGTTGTCTGGCTAAAGGCGATGGGAAGATGTACTCACACCCCAGACTGTGGGCCACACATCTCCTCAGCCCTCAGATGGTCTTTCTCTGTCCCAGAGTACTCTCTCTTTAGAAGACTCAGAGTTAGTGGCAATATCTAAACAATCAGCCACAGCTTCTCTGGAGCTGGACTTCCAGATCCTAAGAACACTGGGGAGCTCTAGATAACACTTGGTGAATCGAGAACAAATAAGACTAGAGGACAGATATTTCCTTTGGGGTTTGGTGACTCTTGTATGTCCAGATACAGTGTTCCAGGCAGGCCCAGGGGTAAAGGTAGATTGTGGGGTTGAAGTGGGAGGAGCATTTGTGGGTGTGTACCGAGAAGGAGATTCACAGACATGGTGATAGAGAATGTGCAAGGTAGATTGGGAGTGGAGGAGAGCTCTTTGAATCAGAACTTCTGAGGGAAAGTATCTTTGCTAGAAAATGCCATCACCTTGCAAGAGCAATAGAGAAGACAAAAGAACCATCCTAGTAGTTGGTGATCAGGACTACATTGGGGAAGCTCCTCACTTTTTGATTCCTTGGAACTTATTTAATGAGCAGACGATTCCACAGTAAGCAGAGCAGCACTGAAGATTTTCTGGGCATTCCTCCTGTGTTGTACAGAAGTGGAAACAGTTCTCCGGTTTCGATCTGCAGGGTGGAGGTTCCAAAATCTGCCCTGGAATGGAGAATAGGGAAGTGAAGGGCATAAACACCAGGCTGGAGTAACAACAGTCAAAGCCCTGGAACCTACCGCCCTCACCTCCCTATACACTGCCCTATGTGGTTCCAGTGAGGAGAACCCTGTTCTGTTCTGTTCTCAGCTACTGCCTTCCGATGAGTTCTGAATAGAACATCAGGATTTATGTACTTGATCAAAGTACAGCAGCATCCTGAACCCATCGGCTATTCACCACCCTTGTAGGTCAGATGCTATGTCCCTGTAGAACTTAGGTCCATTTCAAGGGTAGGTATGGCATGTGTGTGTCTCAGTACTGACTCACAGTGTGGCCTTGAGCAAGTCTTACAGCCTCTTGGTAATAATTTATCCTACAGACAACCCAGGTTGTTTGTGTATAGGAAGAAGTGGGAGTTTTGGTTAACAATGAAGATCTCCAGTAGCCAGTGGCTCACATCTGTAATCCTAGCTACTCAGGAGGCTGAGATCTACTAGCCCAGTCAGGAAGTCCATGAGACTTATTGTTAATTATCCAGAAAAAAGCTGGAAGTGGAGTTGTGGCTGCAGTCATTGCCAGGCTTGAGCGAAAAAGCTAAGGGACAGCATCCTGGCCTAGAGTTCAAGTCTCAACATCAGCTCTCGCTCTCTCTCTCTCTCTCTCTCTCTCTCTCTCTCTCTCTCACACACACACACACACACACACACACACACACACAAGCCACACAACTAATTGAAGGCACTAGGTTAGAAAGCAACAGGTGAGTTCTTCAAGTGGCTCTTTCATCGTGAGAAAGGTAAGAATTTCAGAATGGGATATAAAGATTCAGCTTTTCCTTATTCTCCAGTGCCTCACTTCCTTTCTATGGTTAGAGAAAAATAAAAATAGTCCTGTTGACAACCGATAGTATTTACAGTAATTCTTTCTAGGCACTCACCATGGCTTATAAGAGTGCTCTATGTCCATATACATCATTTGGTTCTTCTCCCAACTATCTTCATAGCATTCTATCCGTTATGAGGCTAAAACCTAAGCCCCAGACACTTTGCCAAAAGTTATGCAGTTATCAAACACCAGCTCTAAATCAGAACTAAATCTTGCTGACTATAAAGCTTTGGACATTTTTTTTTTTGTTGTTGGTTGTGAGGCCTGAACTCTACCACCGAGCCACCTTCCTAGCCCCAGGTTTTGACTGTCTATTTTTCTACAAAATGTTCTGGACTATTGAATCCTCTCCTCTCCACAGAGCCTGCTTCCTTCCCCTGGGCCCAGACCCAGAACCTACTCAGAAAGTACTGCTTGAGACTCCCAAGCACCAGCTGTGGTGTTAGGCTGAGCACCAGCAGGATCTGGAGAGATGGCATGGGCATCATCGTGCTATCAGGGTGAGTGGCTGAGTCCTGGCTGAGAAGTGCTGGCTTTGACCAAGCCTGGCTGTGTGAAGGAGAGAGGGAAGAGGCCCCAGTGCCCGGGAGGGGGTTGGCCTTTGTCTCTGTTCTGATCTAGGAGGGCCTGGAAGAAACCCAAGCACCTCCCAGCCACATCCACTACCGGACCCAGTAGGCTTACCAAACCCATCCTTATCTTGATCTTGTTGTGTTTCTCATCAATATAGAGGTCTCTCTCTCTCTTGTCTGTCTGGGAATGGAATCCAGAGCCTTTGCATCAGGCAGGTACTTCATGGTTATTTCTTTTGGGTTGTTGCTAAAGGAAGCACACATGTCTTTTGGTCTCAGTCTTTACCTAGTTAGCATACTCTCCTTTCCCATTGCTGAGCATTATTTCTTTGGTGTGTTTTCTGGTCTTATCATCTGTAAATAATAACTTGTACTTTTCCTCTTCAACTTGATGCCATTCTCCTTTTTTTTGTTTCTAGTCCTGGGGCTTAAACTCAGGGCCTGGGCACTGTTCCTGAGCTGAAGGCTTGTGCTCTGCCACTTGAGCCACAGCGTCACTTCTGGCTTTTTCTGAGTAGTTTATTGGACCTAAGAGTCTCACAGACTTTGCTGCCTGGGCTGGCTTCAAAGCATGATCATCAGATCTTAGCCTCCTGAGTAGTTAGGATTACAGGCCCGAGGCACTGATGCCATTGTGTGTGTGTGTGTGTGTGTGTGTGTGTGTGTGTGTGTGTGTGTTGCCAGTCCTGGTCCTTGAACTCATTGACCCTGAGCTTCTTTTTGTTCTACCACTTGAACCACAGAGCCACTTCTGGCTTCATTCTGTTTACATGGTACTGAGGAACTGAACCCAAGGCTTCATGCATGCTAGGCAAGCACTCTAGCACTGAGCCACATTCCCAGCCTTTGATGCCATTCTTAATGCTGGCCAGCCTTCCCTCCCCCCAAATCCCACCCCTTGGGGGCATTGAGTAGAAGTGGTAATGGTCTTCATAGATGGTGTTGAATATCAGCCCTTTATCAATTTTTATAAAAGTTTTGTGTAAGATAAAGATAACTAGGCCCAGTTTTTATATTCTTTTGAAGTGACGTCTACATCGATTAAAATTAGATTATTTGAGTCAAACACAGGTGGCTCACACCTGTAATCCTAGCTACTCAGGAAGCAAACATTTGAAGATTGAGATTCAAAGCCAGCCAAAGTAGGAAAGTCTGCAAGATTTCTAATTGCCAATTAACTATCAAAAAGCCAAATAATGGCGGTATGACTCAAGTAGCAGAGCATCAGCCTCAAATGAAAATAGCTCAGGGACAATGCCCAGGCTCTGAGTTTAAGCCCTACTACTGGCACACAAAAAAATTTCTTTTTTTTTTTTTTTGGGTCCGGTGGTGGGGCCTGAACTCTGGGCCTGGGCGCTGCCCCTCAGCTCTTCAGCTCAAGGCTAGCGCTCTACCACTTGAGCCACAGCGCCACTTCCGGCTTTTTTTGCCTATGTGGTGCTGAGGAAGCGAACCCAGGGCCTCATGCATGCAAGGCAAGCGCTTTACCACTGAGCCACCTTCCCAGCCCCACAAAAAAAATTCTGTTAACAAGAGAGGAGGTGACACCTCTCAGATCAATTCCACATAAAACAGGGCAGGGTTAAGTAGGAGGCAAAGGGCAAGAAACACGGAGGCTCTTACTTTTTCTAGGCTTGGTCAGCAGAGGCAGCAAAGAGCTAAGGTCAAACTCTTCCATCCCACTCCATATCCAACTACTCAGGAAAATCTTTGCCCCCTTTGCCAGACCTCCACTCACCGTTTTAGTCACCACACCACTCTAGACAGGTCCAGAGAGGGCACCATGATTAGAGCAGATGCAAGGTAGATGATGGGCTGGACGGGCATACAGGAAGGGGCTGAGCCCAGACTAAGGAGGCCCTGGGAGTCCGTACCTTTCTGTACACTGAGCATTTCCCATGGCATTGTTCAGATTCCAGGCTGTGCCACAGCCAGAGACCCAAAATGAAGGGTGACACGCTGTGGTGAGAGGTGGATGGAGCAGGGCTGAGGGAAAGAAGACAACTGTCCTCTGGTTTATGAACAGCCACAGAGGCTCCCAGGGCAGACACAGGCGTAGAAATGCTGTGGGTGTGGGAAGGGGCACTGGACAGGAAAAGGATGACATAGGGAGGCAAGTTGATGCCATCACGGCGGGGAGCAGGAGGGCGTGGGAGGGAGCTCGCTGAGCAGGCACACGGAGGCCAGGCCAGTGGGGAGAGCAGACAGGACCATGCTGAGTCCATCTTCCCCTCGCCCCTACAGGTCCAGAAGGTGGAACGGGGGGGGGGGGGAGGCATCTCGGGGTGCTCTGAGCTCTCAGGCTGTGAGTATAGAGTGAGCAGGTTGCCTTCACCAGGTCTTGTCTACGAGGGAAGACAGGTCCTGGGTACAGGAGTGTGGACAGGGTCCAGGAAGGGCAGCAGGGCCCATTGGGACCTAAACACCACCCATGCCAAGGGTTTGGCCAGGGGCCCAGAACAATCCCCTGGGGGTGGTGGGGTGCTGTGAGTGGACCTGCATCCTGGGGGCTGGGGCAGCATCAGTGGAAGGAGGATGCTGTCCAGGCAGAGGGCCCCATCCCCCAACTCCCACCCCTTCTCAGAAACCCAGACAACCAGCTCAGAAACCCAGGAGCCTTCCTCAGGAATCAAGAGGTGTGAGAAGCGCACCAGCATCTATCTGTGCAAATACCCCTGTGAAGTCCAAGAAGACTGTGAGGCAAGCAACGTGTGCTGTTCCACCTTCTGTGGGAACGTGTGCATCAACACCCTGTGAGTGGCCGGGGCTGAGCTTCCTGGGACTCCCGGTTCATCATTCCAAGGTGCAGTGCCCCCAACCCACCCACAGCGGAAGCAGGAAGACGTCCACTGCAGGGCCTACCACATCACCAGGCCAGACGCCCGCTCTCTGTGGAAACCCTGTGTTCCTGTCCAATAAACCAGAATGAAATGCCGGGGGATGCGGTCTGTGTGAGTCCCACTGCTTGTGATCAAAGGACCCACAGAGCTCCCCACTGGCCCCCACTCCTCAGCCTGCTCTCCCCTCCCTCCCTCCCCCTTCCCCCTCTCCCTCTTTCCCCCTCCAGATTTCTCTGCTTTCTCCCTTTGGTCCATGAACCCATCGGCCCCCAGGAGGCTCCATTCTCTGGCTCTGCTCTCTGAACCAGCTCTCCCTGGGGAAACTGCCCCAAACAGCAGGGCACAAAGCTCAGGAGAACATTGCTCAGCCTGGGCTCAGAAGGATCCGGCCAAGCATGAGAGTGGTGAGGGTAGATCCTGCAGCACATGGAAGGCCTGGTTGTCCCTGCCCCACCTCCCTGCACTTGGCCTCAGTACTTTATTCTCCCACATGTGCTCCTGAGCTTCTGATTGGTTCCAAGGAGGATCAGGAACCCATGGAAGTCCAGAGATGCTCTAAAGGCCACAAGCAAGGGAAGCAGTCTGGAGTGCCCGGGGGAGGATGTTTCCTCACTGTGTCCATCACTTGAGGCCTGGGGCCTGCTTGTGAGAGCCTGCCTACACCTCCTCCTGTCCACCACCACTCAGAGTGGCCACTCTGATGGTGGGGCCTGGGTTGGGAGTAGGCATTGGATTGCCCAGGGCCTTCTATGAGCTGAATGTCCCCTCTGTCCCCAGCCCTCTTCTTCACAGTCTCACTCTTTTTTCTTTTGATCCAGAGGCTCTCAGTTTCAGAGGTGTTACTCCATCATGGCAGGAGCCTCTGGAGTCAGACTGATTTGAAGTCACAGGGTCAGTCGTGGAGCTGGGGTCCAGCTCTGGGGTCTCCAGGCAGGGTTAGACGCTGCATCTATTGGAGTACATGCTTATAGGAACCAGCTTGGAAGGTTGGGCTGCAGGTACTGGTCTAGCATTGGACAGGCCTGGAGGACTGAGTCGGCCTGGGATAGGCTGAAACCTCAGGGCATTGGTGATGGCTTAGAGCTATGTGGGCCTGTATCCTGTCTCTGCAGGAGCTAGCCTGTAACCCTAAGTATTAGCCTGATAACTAGGGGTAGTAGGGTAAGCCTGATTCTGAGGTAGGCCTTCAGCCTGGGGTTATGGACAACAATATAGTACTGAGAACAGTCTAGGCCCTGGGTTTAGGGACCCAATGGGCCCTTTAATGGACCTAGAACCTGATTCTCTGGGTGCCAGCCTGACACAGCCTGAAGCCCAGGGCCTGTGGAATTATCCAGGCAATGTAGCAGATTTGGAAATACAGTCCTGGGTCCGGAGGCTAAGGTATCTACCTGGTTCCAGGACAAATTTAGAGGCTCAGTCTGAAGGTCCTGACCTAAGACCACAGGGGGCTGTTTTGGCCTGCTGGATAGGCCTACAGAAAGTGTCTGCATGGGGCATCTGAAGGCTAGGTCCACAGGTGCCAGCCTAATGAGTGGGGCTATACAACCTGGCGCTGAGGGTCACCTGAAGCCTGAGGTCACTGGGGCTGGCCAGCACCGAGGAAACTCTGGAGCCCAGAGCTACCCAGGTTGACATCATTGCACCACCACCACCAGCTAAAACCTCAGCTCCTCTCCTCTATCAGCTGTTCACAGATTAATCTCATGTTCATGTAAAGTCCTTTTAGAATGGTTACAAATACATCCAGTAAGGAACATCTTTCCCAGAGGGCTGCTCTTTAGAAATGAAATGCAAAAGGCTGCTTGCCAGTCTTCACGTTAAAATGATACATGAGAAATGAACTCCGAGGGATGAGAAAAACTGTAATCTTGTACACATTGCAGGATGGAAACAATATTAGGAGTTTCAACAAGAGCAATCAAGGATTAGTATTAAAGAAACACACACACACACACACACACACACACACACACACACACACACACACACACACACACACACACACACACAAAACCACCCAGGTGCCAGTGGCTCACGCCTGTAATTCTATTCAAAAGGCTGAGATCTGAGGATTGGGGAATTGTGGTTCAAAGCCAGTGCAGATATGGAAAGTCCGTGAGACTCTTGTCTTCAAAAAAAAAAAGGAGGAAATGGAACTGTGGGTCAAGTGGTAGAGTGCTAGCCTTGGGCAAAAAAGCAGCTCAAGGGGGCTGGGAAGATGGCTCAGTGGTAGAGCGCTTGCCTTGCATGCATGAGGCCCTGGGTTCGATTCCTCAGCACCACATAAACAGAAAAAAAAAAAAGCCGGAAGTGGCGCTGTGGCTCAAGTGGTAGAGTGCTAGCTTTGAGCTGAAGAGCTGAGGGACAGCACCCAGGCCCAGAGTTCAGGCCCCACAACCGGACCCCCCCCCAAAAAAAAAGCAGCTCAAGGACAGCACTCAGATTCTGAATTCAAACCCCAATACTGCCCTTTCCTACCCGCCCCCCCCAAAAAAAAAGCCAGACTCCCTGTCCCTCCCCCCCAGGAAAAATAGACTAATGTTCCCAAATGCAGACCCACAGAACTGCTCTGATGGCTCTTAAACATCTCCCAGCTACCACACGTGGTCTCTCAGTGCGAATTTAGAGTTCTAGCTTTCTATGTTGAGAAGCATTTGGTCTGCCTCTGAGTTCTGGGACATTACTTCTCAACAACTGTATCTACCTCCGATTGTGTCTACTCTGAATCATATCTATAATAGCCCATTTAGAACAGGCAGACACTCTAATTGCCTGGTAGATAGGATGGAGTCAAAAAGCCACCTGACTCTCAAATCTTGGTATTCTTCTCCCTCAAGATGGCAGCTGTGGAAAGCTTCTGTTGCAACGTCAGTACCACTGTTCACCTAGTCTGAGATACACTTTTCTTCCTGTTTGTGTCATTCTTTTTTCGAAGAGTGGAGTCTATATGATTTTTTTGTGGAGGGTCTCTGTAAGAGAAAAAAAATGTAGGTGTCTTAGAGACCAGGGAGCTCTTGAGAAACAAACATTCAACCCACCAGCCCAACCAGGAAGAAATATCTTAATGGAGCCAGGAGCTGGTGGCTCACACCTGTCATCCTAGCTACTCAGGAGGCTGAGATCTGAGGCTCATGTTCAAAGCCAGCCCGGCCTGGAAAGTCTGTGAGACTCTTATCTCAAATTAACCACCAGAAAACTGGAAGTGGTCCTGTGGTTCAAGTGGTAGAGCTCTCTCTTTGAGCTGAAGAGCTCATGGAAAGCACCCAGGCCCAGAGTTCAAGCCCCATGATGGACAAAAAAAGAAAAAGAAAAAAAAGAAATATCTTAATGGACCAACATATGTTGTGTGGTTCTGAGCGGTGAATAGTTGATTCATTAAATGACCTGCCAGAGCCGATTGGGCCCACAAAAAACATTTGACTATGGAGACAGTGTTTAGCAATATGGACAAAAGTTAGGAAAATAGCAAACTATGAAAGTACTATGTACTTTTCATAATACTTAACTACTATGCAAAAAGGACAATGCGAACATTCACTGTGTTATGACAGCAATTGTAGGCTCTAAGCTGATGTGTTGGTTTTATTTGCCAGGAAAATTTTCGAGGTTTGGAGAGTCAGTTGTTTTCTGTTCATTTTTGTCTCTCGGATTTGAAAAACCTCAGGCTTCTATTTAGGAATAGTCTCTGTGTAGAGGACAAACATCTATGAAGCTACAGCCTCGTGCAAACTCGTCCATCTTACCTCGTTATATAAACAGATGAAACCACAATCGGTCCAGCAGCACACATGAGTTTTGAGGAAACATCGAAAGGTCCTAGAACACTTCTGGGAACATTCATCCACCTTTGGGTATTTCCAGCACTGCTCGATGAATTTACCCCCTGCAATTGAGATAAGACCATAAGTAGCTGACAAGGCCTCACAGCCAGCCACAGGAAGAGAGGCCCTTCGTAAATTTAACAGCATCTTCTAGAAGCTGAGCCCTACATCCCCACCAAGGCATCTATGTCTGCCTTCTAAGAAAACTCTCTTGCTGAGCTTCCTCAAATTCAAGCTACTGCACTGTCACTGCCTTCTCTGCTCCTACAGGACTTAGCTGTGTTGCAGGCTCCTGGGTTTCCTGTAGCCTCCCAGCATTCATGGACCCTCCTGTAAGACCTAGACTTACTTAACAGGAGATCCGAGGCCTGAGATATAGCCTCTCCCTTCATTACAATACCCATTTCTTTCCTTTTCCTTCCTCCCTCCCTCTCTCCCCCTCTCTCTTTCTTTCTCTCTCTTTCTCTTTCTTTCTTTCTCTCTTTCTTTCTCTTTCTCTCTCTCTTTCTTTTTCTCTCTCTTTCTTTCCTTCTCTTTCTTTCTTTCTCTCTCTTTCCTTCTTTCTCTCTCTCTTTCCTTCTTTCTCTCTCTTTCTTTTTTTCTCTCTCTTTCTTTCTCTCCCTTCCTTCCTTCCTTCCTTCCTTCCTTTCTTTCTTTCTTTCTTTCTTTCTTTCTTTCTTTCTTTCTTTCTTTCTTTCTTTCTTTCTTTCCTTCTTTCCTTCTTTCTTTCTTTCTTTCTTTCTTTCTTTCTTTCTTTCTTTCTTTCTTTCTTTCTTTCTTTCTTTCTTTCCTTCTTTCTTTCTTTCTTTCTTTCTTTCTTTTTTTTCTTTCTTTCTTTCTTTCTTTCTTTCTGTAATGGAGCTTGAGCTCTGGGCCTGGGCACTGTCCCTCAACTCTTCAGCTCAAGGTGAGTACCCTACCACTTGAACCATAGTGCCACTTCCAGTTTTCTGAGTGGTTTATTGGAGATAAGAGTCTCACAGACTTTCCTGCCCAGGATGGCTCTGAATTATGGTCCTCAGATCTCAGCCTCCTGAGTAGCTAGGATTATAGGCGTGAGCTACCATGCTCGGCCTCTTTCTCCTTTTCATTGCTAACTCCAATTGTGTACCTCTTTGACTCTCAATTTTGGGAGTAACCAAAGTCCTCAGGAACAGCACCTGACCCCTCCAAAAAAGAAAGAGAAAAAAGAAAGAAAAAAAAACAGAGTGATTTATGTTGGGGGTGTTGCTTAAATGATAGAGCATCTACTTAGGAAGCAGATGAGCTCTGATTCAAAGCCCAGTACTGCCACACACACATTAAAAAAAAAAAAAGACTAAAGAAATATCCATTTGGCGCCCATCAAAATAAACACAGAGCACAGAACTTTTAGATGTTTGGGAAGGTAGGAGAGCTCTATATTGGCACCCAAACCCCAAGGACATTGGGGGAAAATTACATCCTTATAGCTATGGAATTTGAATGAGTTGATAAATATTCATTGCTATTTTCTCTCTCTCAAAGAGAGAGAGAGAGAGAGAGAGAGAGAGAGAGAGAGAGAGAGAGAATGTGTGTATATATACTGGGGTTTGAGCTCGGGGTCTGGGTGCTATCCCTTAGCTTTTTTACTTCAGGCTGGTGTTCTACCACTTGAGCCACAGCTCCACCAGTGCCCAGCACTCGTCGCTGGGTGAAAAGGGCATTGAGGGCTCATCTCGGGAGCTGTTGGATTTGGGCATGCATACTGAGGCATGTCTTCTCCTTCCATGGGTAGTCCTGAGCAGGCAGGCCCTAAATCAGATGCATCAGACATGATACCTTCTTACGAATCCAGAAACTAGCAAAGCCCCCTCTCTCTTGGTTTTCCCAGGGCCATCTCACCACCTACTGAAGTATTTGCTCTTCACTCTGCTCAGCACAGACGGCAGCAGCAAACAAAGGAACACCATGCTCAGGGTTATCCGGAGATTCATGGTGCCACCTGCATGCATCTGGATGCATCTGCACAGGCAGTGGGAGAGACAGTTCTCTTCCCAGACACCGCTAGAGATCAAGAGACATAAATGGGGAAACAAAGAGGCTAAGCAAGAGGATGTCTCGCTACAGAATGCAGAATGCCCTCCACTTTTTTTTCTAGTTATGATCTCTTGCCCTGGTCTACCCAGCACCCAGCACCCAACACCCAACACCCAGCACCCAACACACACCTAAGTGGGCCTCTGGCATTTGCCAAATGCAGCTTTTCCATCTCGCACATCTTGTTTTCCTTTTTCTATATAAAAGATTGTTTTTTCATTTTAATTTGAACTCTTTTGAGGCAGTTGTAGTGGTAAAGAGCCCTTCAAATTTTGCTTTGAATTGGGGCTTAAACTCATGGCCTGGGTGCGGTCCCTGAGTGTTTTTTTTCCACTCAAGGCTGGTGTTCTACCATTTGATCATTGCTCAATGTTTTTTTTTTTTTTTTTTGTGGCTCATTGGAGATAAGGCTCACAGACTTTCCTGCCTTGGCTGGCTTCAAACCACAATCCTCTGATTTCAGCTTCCTGAGTAGCTAGGATTACAGGCGTGAGCCACTGGGACCTGTCTTCAATTTATTTATTTATTGTCAGTCATGGGGCTTAACTCTGGGCCTGGGCACTGTCCCTCAGCTCTTCAGCTCAAGGCTAGCGTTCTACCACTTGAACCACAGCACCACTTCCAGCTTTTTCTGCTTATGTGGTGTTGAGGAATGGAACTCAGGGTCAGGCATGCAAGGCAAACACTCTACCACGGAGCCACCTTCGCAGCCCTCAAGCCTTTTATTTTTTAATTTATTTTTTTGAGTTAGGTCTTACAGTTTAGCTTAGAATGGCCTTGAACTCAATGCTCTTCCCTCCACCTTGCAAATGCTGGGATTATATACATACACCACCCTCCTTGGAGTTATTCTTTTATCTTTTGATTGACATATAATATTCGTATGTATCTATAAAATACAGTTCATATTTTTCGCTTTATTATTTATTTTGTGTGCCAGTACTAGGGCTTGAATTCAGGGTGTAGGGGCCATCCCTTAGGTTTTTTTGCTCAAGGTTGGTGCTTTACCACTTGAGCCACAACTTCACTTGTAGTTTTTGGTGATTAATTGGAGATAAGAGTCTCACAAACTTTCCTTCGCAGTTCATGTTTTGATTCAGATATGGTGCCGGGCACCGGTGGCTTACCCCCTGTAGTCCTAGCTATTCAGGAGACTTGAGATCTGAGGATCACAGTTCAAAGCCAGCCAGGGAAGGAAAGTCTGTGAGACTCTTCTCTCCAATGAACCACCAGAAAAACGGAAATGGTGCTGTGGCTCAAGTGGTAGAGCGCTCACCTTGAGCTGAAGAGTGCAGGGATAGTGCCAAGCCCAGAGTTCAAGCCCCATGACTACCCCCTCCCCCCCAAAAAAAGAGTAATTGGTACAGCCATCAAATTAATAATGGCAAATAATAATGGCAAATAATGGTAGATTCCTCTCTTCTAACTACTCTGAGATATATAATGTATTTTTTTTTTTTTTGTCGGTTGTGGGGCTTGAACTCTGGGCTTGGGTGCTGTCCCTCAGCTCTTCAGCTCAAGGCTAGCGCTCTACCACTTGAGCTACAGTGCCACTTCTGGTTTTCAAGTGGTTTATTGGAGATAAGAGTTTCTCGGACTTTCTTGCCCGGGCTGGCTTTGAACTGTGATCCTCAGATCTCAGCCTCCTGAGTAGCTAGGATTACAGGCGTGAGCCACCAGCGCCCGGCTGTATTTTCTTTTTTGGGGGTCCGGTCGTGGGGCCTGAACTCTGGGCCTGGGTGCTGTCCCTCAGCTCTTCAGCTCAAGGCTAGCACTCTACCACTTGAGCCACAGCGCCACTTCCAGCTATTTTCTTTTTGCTTATGTGGTGCTGAGGAATCGAACCCAGGGTCTCAGGCATGCAAGGCAAGCGCTCTACCACTGAGCCACCTTCCCAGCCCTGTATTTTTTTTTTTTTTGATTGTGGGGTTTGAACTCTGGGCTTGGACACTGTCTCTGAGCTCTTCAGCTCAAGGTGAGCCCTCTACCACTTGAACCATAGTGCCATTTCTGGTTTTCTGGTGGTTAATTGGAGATAAGAGTTTCACTGGCTGGCCCAGGCTGGCTTTGAACTGTGATCTTCAGATCTCAGCCTCCTGAGCAGCTAGGATTACAGCTGTGAGCCACTGGTGCCCAGAAATAATGTATTCTTAACTTTGCGTAGGGCAACAGAACTTGTCATCCTCTTGAATAACAGTCACACTGATTGACAAGACTTTATCCTCCCCCTCCTCTCTATTCTCCCATCCCCAGATAACTACTCTTGCACTCTCAACTTCTATGAAATAAACTTTTTAGATTTCACTTTTTTGTGTGATGGTCCTGAGGCTTGAACTCAGAGCCTAGGTGCTGTCTCTGAGCTGAACTCTGGGCCTAAGCGCTGTCCCTCAGCTCGTCAGCTCAAGGCTAGCATCCTACCACTTGAACCACATCTACCACTACTTCTTCTTCTTCTTCTTCTTCTTCTTCTTCTTCTTCTTCTTCTTCTTCTTCCTCCTCCTCCTCCTCCTCCTCCTCCTCCTCCTCCTCCTCCTCCTCCTCCTCCTCCTCCTCCTCCTCCTCCTCCTCCTCCTCCTCCTCCTCCTCCTCCTCCTCCTCCTCCTCCTCTTCTTCTTCTTCTTCTTCTTCTTCCTCTTCTTCTTCCTGCTCCTGCTGCTCCTCCTCCTCCCCCCCTTCTCCTCTTCCTCTTTCTTTTGTGGTTTATTGGAAATAAACTCATAGACTTTCCTGTGTGGGATGGCTTTAACCTCAGATCTCAGCTTCCTGAGTAGCTAGGACGCCACTGGCATCCAGTTTAGATTTCACTTATGAATAAGATCAGGTAGTATTTGTCTGTTTGTGCCTGACTCATTTCACTTAAAGATGTTGAGAAGATCCTCACATGTTATTACAAACGACAAAATTGCGTGTTTATATGGCTGAGTAATGCTCCATCATGTATATATACCCTCATTTTTGTTATTCATTCATCTGTTGATGAGGTAACACAATATCTGACTTCAAAGTATACTACAGAGCCATAGTAACAAAAACAGCATGGTACTGGCACAAAAGCAATGCAACAGAAGACCCAGAAATGAATCCATATAGCTACAGCTACCCAGTCTTCAACAATGGATCCAAGAGCACATATTGGAAAAAAATACAGTCTGTTAAAACAAAGTGGTGCGTGGGCTGGGAATGTGGCTTAATGGCAGGAGAGCTTGCCTAGCATGCATGAAGCCCTGGGTTTGATTCCTCAGAACAACATAAACATAAAAAGCCAGAAGTGGTGCTGTGGCTCAAGTGGTAGAGTGTTAGCTTTGAGCAAAAGAAGCTCAGGGATAGTGCCCAGGCCCTGAGTTAAAGCCCCAGGACTGGCCAAAAAAAAAAAAAAAAAAGTGGGCTGGAAAGATTGATTATCTATGTGCAGAAGGCTAACAGTAGACCCCTACTTTTCACTCTGAATAGAAATCAACTCCAAATGAGCCTAAGATCTTAACGTAACATCTGGAACTTTGAAACTACTACAGGAAAACATAGGTGACACACTGGAAGACAAAGAGACACAAGAATGTCTTTCTTTTTTGAGGGGGCGGCTTGAACTCAGGGCCTGGGCACTGTCCCTGAGCTTTTTTTTGCTCAAAGGCAGCACTCTACCTCTTGAGACACAGCACCATTTCTGCCTTTTTCTCTTTAGGTGGTACTGAGGAATCGAACCCAGGGCTTCATGTATGTTAGGAAAGCACTCTACCACTAATCCGCATTCCTATCCCAGAAATTTATTTTCTGAAAGGATTCCAATTACCCAGCAAATAAGAGCAACAACGAACAGATGGGAGTTAAAATCAAGCTAAGAAGTTTCTGCTCAGCAAAAGAAACAAGAAACAATTACTAGAACCAAGAGACAACCCACAAAATGGGAGAAAAATGTCACTAGCTATTCATTCAATGGATAAAGGGTTAATCTCTAAAATATACGGAGTAAAAACAATTCTCAGAAGCCACATAAATGACTAATAGGACATAAAGAAATGATCAACATCCTAGCCATAAAGGAAATGCAAATAAAAATGACACTGCTATTTCATCTTATCCTAGTCAGAATGGCTATGGTTAAGAAAACAAACTAAATAGAGACTGGCAAGAAGCAGGAAAAAAAAAAATCCATACACTGTTGGTGAGAATGTAAACAGTGCTTGAGTCTCAACCCCAGCATTTACCTCATCACATTATGTGACTGGCCAATCTCAGAGCCTCAGGTTCTCTATCTAGGATATGAGTTATGTTTGTACCCACATTGAAAACACCAAATATGTGAAGCACTGAGCCTCACGCCTAGCATACAGTATCTGTCAAATAAATACTGGCTTGAAGCTTAGCTGTCCTTTTCTCTTTCAGGTAGGGAGACAGTTACTAAAGTACACTTTGTTGTGGTCTCTTTTAGCGATTTCAACTACCTTCTCTACTTGAAATTAATTCTTGTGGTTAGGTGAGGTGCTAGCCGCCTTCTTCTTTTTTTTTTAGCCAGTTCTGGGGCTTGAATTCAGGCCCTAGGTACTGTCCCTGAGCTTCTTTTGCTCAAGGCTAGCACTCTACCTCTTAAGCCATGGTGCCACTTGGCTTTTTCTGTTTAGGTGGTATTGAGGAATTGAACCCAGGGCTTCAAGCATGCCAGTCAAGCATTCTTACCACTAAGCCACCTTTCCAGCCCACTAGCCTTCATTTTTATGTGAATCTCTCTCTGCAAGGGAACAATGCTCCCACAAAGTTTTTCTTTGCTTCATTTTCAGTCAAGCAAAAGAAAACCCTTGTGCCTTGATTGAAATCCCTTCAAATGTTCAAAATCTGGAATTGTACCTGTGGACAGTTTACAAGGTGTAAAACGAAGTGAGCTAAACTCATTTCTCTAGCACAG